TTATTATACGGACCTTGTGGAATCTAGAACGAATTTCCGTGCGTTTAGGCGTTTTTGCCATACCTATTATTGGAAGCAAGTATAACAGCTCACACATAGGACCCACTTAGTTTTTAGTCAAATTTCCGTGGTGCTTGGCGACTGGGCTTCACCCAGTTGTACAGTCTCTTCTTTGTGCCTTTAGGCTTAATTCACTCTGTCTTCTGCAGTAATTCACCGAGGGAAGTGGAAACTATCGTCTTTTCTTCTTCTCCTCTTATAATATCTTCTGATTCACTTTGTTGCGGGAACCAAGACAGTTATTCAAATCCCTGGGACGTTGGACTTCAGTGTTCCGGTGTTTTCATGGTTGTATCTACTGTAGATCCTGGCTTACAGGAGATGCAGCGGTTTTGGGAGGGTGAGGCGGGCTTGTTCCCAAAAGAAAAGGATATGTCACTCTAAGAAGAATGTTTTAGTATATTAAATAATCAACTTTAAACAAGAGGTTGAAGTCGGTTTTTAAACGTAATTTATAAAATATTATTTATTTTTTCTGAGGTACGAAATGTAGCTGAACTTTCAAAATATTGACTGTTATTTTGTAACCTTAGATAGCTTAGAAGTAAATATGATCATGTTTCCGCAGCGACCCCGCTAGCAGTGCAGCTAGCTACCGGAGTACTGGAGTGGGCGCTGGTGGCGGGCCGGGACCCGCTCGACGTGCTGCTGGCCGCCGCGCCCAGCCACAATGTACTCGAGCTGCTCTATGAGAGGTGGGTACAGTAGTACTGGAGTGGGCGGAAATCATCGAATGACTTCTCCCGCCTGAGTGAGGCGGGAGAAAGTGTCAGACTCCTGCACTTCGAGTCGGAAGCCCCGGTAACTTTTTACGTCCTTTGCGGCTCCGTGAGTAGTGGTTGGCTGCGGTCTGGGTAGAGCTGGGTGGATTGCAAAGACTCCAGTACATCCCCTGGACACTTTTGGGTGTAATTCGATATCTTTGAATATATTTGGAACGTTTTCAGATGTGAATGGATTACTTTTTGATATATTTGGAACACTTTTGGGTGCAATAGTGGCTACCGTAGTTTTGGTCATTAGATGATGCAAACGTAGCAAGAGTTTATTTATCTAATCACTGCAGCTGTCATAGATTGAACACCCAATAGTCTGTCACTAAGTTATTCCCTATTGGACTAAAAACGAGAGGTTCACATCAGCGCCATGTTTTTTTTTTTCAAACCATTTTTTTGGGATGTCCTTCTGTGTCGTGTGTGGCATACAAGTTCACATACACATGACACCTAGACACGGAACAACAATCTGTAAATCACATAAAGAGTGGTTCCGTGCAGGAATCGAACCCGCGACACGTTGCGCGGCTGCCAGTTGCCCAGCCACCGCGCCAATCGTGCAGTCCAGGTGCCAATGATCAGTGCCTTTAGCCAAACGCCACTTTAGCGCTTGTCTACAGAGAGAGTAGAAAACTAAATGTATGGGGATGACACTGACAAGTCTCAAAATTTACGTCAGTCTTATCTTATACTTATTATTTAAAGCGGAAGAGTATGATTTTTTTTGTTTGTTTGTTTGAACACGCTAATCTCCGTAACTACAAGTCTGACTTGAATAATAATTTTTGTGTTGGATAGCGCATTTATCGAGGATGGCTATAGGCTATGAAACATCACGCTACGACCAATAGGCGCTGAGCAGAGCGTGTAAAACCACGCGGAAGTAGCTAGTTCCATATAGTTTGGTTTTCTATTCCACATATAGACAAGCGATAAATGGCATTTGGCTACAGCTGCAGGTGAGAAAATATACAGGAGCCCCTATTAGGTGTCTTTTTGGGGCTATATTTGGATAGACCTATACAATTTGTATTCAGGGTTTAAGGTCAGAGCTCTATCTTTTATTCAAATTTAAAACACTAATTATTTTGTTCACTACGTGTTGATTTATTATCTGGTAGCTGCGTTCTTTTAATATTTACTTACTGTATGCTCGTATTTCCAGGATAACGGAGTCGTTCCAGCGACAACCGCCCGCCTTCCAGCAGTACTACTATCATAATTGGTTGAAACTCAGGATAGCGCTTTGCAGGTATGTACATATTTTATGTTGATCATAAAGTTCTTATGAACTTTAATGTTTTATTTTTTATTTTCCATTATTACAATACTATCACCTGTTGTGTAACGTGTACACTCTTTTCTAAGTTGGACAATAAGGGCATAATTTTAGGAAATAAAAGGTTCAATTCCAAATAGTCAAAAAGCTTAAAGCCATGGCAGGAATAAAGTGGCTGTACAGAAATAATAATTCCAACATAACATAATAACAACGTCACGCCTTTTATGCGAAGGGGTAGGCAGAAGTGCACAATATACCACTGTACAATGTAACACCCACTTTTCACTATTTATGTTATGAGTCCCATGTAATAGGGGGTGAGTCTATTGCCATATACCGGGCACAATTCCAGACTCCGTGGTACCACTGAGATTTTTTTTAAAAACCTAATATTACTTTGCCCGACCCGAGAATCGAATCCGAGACCCCTTGCCCGGCAGTCGCACTTGCGACCATTCGGCCAACGAGGTAGTCTTCTATAATAATTTCAAGTACTTAGGAATTAGAAAATCGGTGATTAAGTTCTCAAATTGTTGACGACACAGGCAAGGAGCGAGAATAATCTACATTCCGTTGCAATTTACCTGGAAAATTCACCAAAAACCAATTTAAGAATGAAATACATAGGCGTGCTCCATCGTCGACCACATCCTCGCTGACCACGAGGCGAGATGGTGGTCAAACGTTAACCTATCCGATATGAAAACTAAAACATTGAGCACTGTCCCCACAGAATGATCCCAGGCGGCCAGAGCAGTGCGTCGTGGCTGACGTGCCTGCAGGCGCTGCAGGCGGGCTGGGCGGCCGTGTCGCTGGCGCTGCGCCCCGACGACAAGCCCGACGCCGGCGTGCTCGGGGCCTTGCTGGACGACCACGCACATGACCACGAGAAGGTAACTTGTTAATATATCAGTACTATCGCAAACATCTTGTTTTTTTTACTGATTTTATTATAAGTTTAATTTATCAATAATTGTAATACAATTTATACAACTATAACTAAAGTTCCTAATTCCGTATTTATATAATTAGTAATTGACATCCTAATGTATATTTTTTTTTCTTTTTGAGATAGATATGCACCCATGGAATCACTTGTTATTTTTCTGTATGTTTTGTTTACCGTTCTATTTTTTGCATGTGGTGTTAACCTATAATTAATTGTTGCACTTGTAAATGTTTCTTCAGCTATTTAATCAGTAATGTACCTCGTGTGTTCATAAGTTTTGAGACAAATTAAAAGTTGCATATCTTTTTAAATAATAAACTTATATTTATAAAAACAATAACAAACATTAAGTAGATAGTAAGTAAAAATGAAATATAATTATTATTCAAAATGACCACCCCTGTTTTTAATACATGCCCTTAGACGATTTGGCCAGTCATCAATAGCGGCACGAATCTTTTCCAGAGGAATTCGCTTCGCTTCTCGGACAAGAGCTCGCTTAAGTGACTCCAAGTTTGGGTGGGACTTTCGGCAGGCTCTGAGCTCTAATTCGGTCCATAGAGAATAATCCAGCGGGTTGAGGTCGGGGCTGGAGGAGGGCCATTCGTTCGCCGCAATGAAGGCCGGCACATTTTCCTTCAGCCAAGCTTGGGTGGTTTTAGCCTTATGGGATGGCGCCGAGTCTTGCTGGAAAACCCAATACTTGTTATGGAATAGGGTATTAGACAGGGGTTTCACAACAGTCTCTAGAATGTCACTTTGATAATTTTTGGCTTTCACCTTGACGCCTTGTTGGCAGAAATGAAGCTGAGTGACACCTTCGTACGAAACTCCCCACCATACCATGACACTAGCCGGATGATGAGTACGCGAGACATTCCGTGCTGAAGGTGGGACATCCTTGCTACTTTTGGCATACACTTTATTGTTTTGTCGATTGAACTTTTCTTCGACGGTAAAGATTTTCTCGTCGGTGAAGAGTATCTTCCTCGCATCGTGTCTCCTAAGCAGTATTGGACAACGTTCGCGTCGCAATTGACGAAGGCGATCGTTTAAAAAGTGTACTTTTCTACGGCTATACGCCTTAACCTTGAGATCATATTTCAGTATTCTGTTGACTGAAACGCGCGAAATATTGGTCTGCAGAGCGAGTTTCTTCTGAGTGCGACATGGATTTCGGCGAAGTCGCTCTCGGATGATTTTAATGTTCGCAGGCGTCCTCACAGAGCGTGGACGACCACTTCTTTGCCGATCATGTAAAGAACTTGTCTCCTGGTATCGTTTAATAGTGTAATACACGAAGTTACGGCTCACACCAAAACTTTTCAGTTCTCGGAAAATGTCCATAGGTTTTCTTCCCACCTTAAATAATGAAATGACGGTCGCACGTAATTCTTTTGTTCCCTCCATTACGAGAAAATTTAAATAAAATAATCCGAAATCATAGATATTAAAAGTTAACATTCCAAATTCAAAATTAGAAAAAGAAATATACAGCAGCCAGTAATTTTTATTTTATTTTTATAAGCAAAAAGTTTGTCTCAAAACTTATGAACACACGAGGTATATAGTGTGAACAATTGTTGGTTAACCAAAATAAATAAATAAAACATGGCTGCCTCGACAGCCGAGTGTTCGCCAGTACTGGCATAAGCCGGTAAACGAGCAGACGGGTCACCTGATGGTAAGCAATCGGCGCCACCCATGGACACCTGGAACTTCAAAGGCATTACAAGTGCGTTACCGGCCTTTTGGGGATTATGAGTTTGAGGATTGTTGGGGATTTAGGAATTGGCGAAATTGGGGAAGGGGAGTGTAATTGGGCCTCCGGTAACCTCACTCACACGACGAAACACAACGCAAGCGTTGCTTCACGTCGGTTTTCTGTGAGGCCGTGGTATCAGTCCGGTAGAGCCGGCCCATTCGTGCCGAAGCATGGCTCTCCCACACTTAAGGAAATGACAATATATTGAGCAAGCGGGGTAATAATGCTCGAACCTTCTCCGTGTCAGAAGAAGCCAATGGTCTTTAGTGATCACTTATAAGCTGTTATCGTTCATGATGATCTAACAATAAATCCATGGAAATATAATTCCTAACATAGGTCAGCTGTACTAAGTGTATATTCCCTTCCCCACAGAGCCTGCTGGCCCTGGAGTCGAAGCCGGAGGCAGTGGTGGAGGCGGCGGGGCTGCAGCCGCTGCGGCGCTGCATCCAGCGCGCGCTGGACATCGGCCTCACCGCGCTGCTCGCCCTGGCCGCGCCGCACCATCACCACTCGTACGTCTACTTGTACAGTACTGGCGGCTTGACTGGACAATGTTACGTCTAACAGTAATAACGTATACTTCAATTAATTATGTCTACCACTTATCTACTGCCTTTCGCAATGTTTTAAAAATACAATATACAGGGTGTCGGGTTAGTCGAAACTGAGTTTTGATGAGAAATATTTTTTTGTGTCGAATTTGAGGGAGTGGTATACCATTCTAGAATCGTTATTAAATGCGCCAACTTTGGTGACATTTGCCACTACCAGCGTAGTACAATTTTTTTCAGCACAGTCCCTAAACATAGATGAAAATTTTATTAAGAACACTTGGTTCGTCAAAAACCAACATCATTTTTTTAAACTAAAGCATTTGGCCCAGAATTTATGATTCCATTATACTCGAGCACTGTTCAGTATAAGTAAGCAAAAACACAGACGAATCAAAGTATTGTAGCAGCAAGAGTCAAAAGACTGCCACAGGGTGTACTTTTTCGTGGTTATAAGTCATTGTGATTTAAAATTATGTATATGACTTTTTATATTTTTCCAAGAACTCTTGGCACCTTACTAATCACCTGGTGCCATTTGATCATCAACTTCAGGGCACCCTGTATAAGACGTTGTACTATGACGTCATAGTACAACTTTATTTGTATGAAAAGTGCCAATAATCAAAATTGTAGACGCATATATTTCAGCCACATTTGATTGTACAACTAAACTGAGTAGACAGACCAATTCGTTACATTGGGAGCTTCATATGTAGTTACAGGTATTTCTAAAAACGTTAACATTTTCCAGTCTATATTTGTAGTTTTCTTTTTTTTTCTTATACTACGTCGGTGGCAAAAAAGCACACGGCCCACCTGATGGTAAGCGGTTACCGTGGCCTATGTACGCCTGCAACACTTGGAGCATTACATGCGTCTTGCCGAGCCTTAAGAAACCCTGCCCTCTTGAAGAACCCCATGTTTGTTATGAGATAGTACTATCCCAGTAGTCGGTGCCGGTCCAGGGCAACCGCAATACTAGAAGCGTGCGTACCTTGCGACCTTTTAGGGAGTACAATTGGGTACTTGACATCTAGTCAAATTCAATACTTTTTTGGAACTGTCAAAAACGATACCTTTTTATGAATTTTGTACGAGATTGTGTATTGTGACGTCACGTTTTTTTAGCATCGAACAGCATAATTATTTCTTAAACATTTGCTGGAAATTAAGTTGGTCATAAAATCAATTCATGAACAGTCGAAATAATTATTTTTGATTAAAGGCAAGTACCCAATTCTGAGGATTTGAGGATGGAAGACCCGATGTCCTTACTCATATGGCTACACGATTCTGTGGTTGTACTGTATGATTGTGGTATCACTGCGGTCGAGCCGGCCGCTTTATGCCAAAACATGGCGAGAATATTGATTCTATGGAATGAAAAAATAAATTGTCGACAATTTATTTAATTCTAGTCTAATTAATTTTTAATAATATTGACATCAGTTAAACAAGTAGAGAGAACAAAACTTGGTATCTTATATTTATATCCCTATAGTTGTATATATTTTTGAGGATTTCGTAAATTAACAGTTTACAAAGTTCATTTATAACACAGATTATACATAATAGTTTTTGTAACGTGACGTCACAAAGTTTAAGATCTCTCTCTCCCCCTTGTGCCGTATTTCGTCGACTCCTCCCCCATAACGGGTGACGTAATTTATTTAAAATCGTTAATTGGTTTGTACCTGTCCAGTTACGAGGTGGTGTCGGACGGCGCGGCGGTGTCCCTGCTGCGGCGGCTGGCGGGGCTGGCGCGCGCGGCCCGGCCCGCGCCGCGCGCCGCCGACCTGCTGGCGCGCCCGCTCGCCCGCCTGGCCTCCGCGCCGCCGCCGCCCGTGCCGCCCAAACAGGATCTACTGGGTCAGTTGTCACGAACAATAATCCTTTGTTACCATTTATGTCCAATTGTTGTATCTTTTCTGAAAACCGCATCAAAATCGGTTCACCTAATCGCGTAGAAACATACATACATAATACAGGGACCGAAAACCTCTCTTTTTCGAAGTCGGTTAAAAATAGGGTACACTCATATAGTTTTGTAATATGTTACTAACAAGAATATGGACATGGTGTGAAATAAATGATGATTATTATTATTATTCATACATATCACTCTCCAATCTCCTAATTTCTAAACAATAAATATAGAATGTCAGTTCTACCAAGGGAAGAAGGTCCTACCTGTGGTAAAATTGCTAGTAGATATCTACTTTATCTGATTTTGAATGCAATTTTTTTATATCTTCCCCAAATTTCTACCCTTAATATTAACTACAACAATCTTTAGAATATCGTAAAATAAAGTTAATTAAATTAAAATGACTAAAAGTCTCCCTATCCTCATACAGAGGAGTGCGCGCTGCTAGGCACGCAATGGACGGGCGCGCGCGTGTGGGAGTCGCTGCCGCGCTGCGCCGTGTCCGCGCCGCATGGCAAGCAATGGCCGCTATACGTATGTACTACATATTTCATTATTTTCATTGCTAAATTAATACTTAATGAATCACAGTCATTAACGACACAGTGATTAACGTTATACAAGGTGTAGTTTTGAAACCGTGTCATTTCTCGGGGGCATGTCACAGCAGTCATAAAGGTTCAATGTAAGAGAAAGTTTCGGACCAGTACTTATAAATACAGCTGTAATAAATCGTTTAAGTTCGACAATATTTTAAATAAGCGACAGTAATGTTTCTTATTGGAGTTTTATGGAATTAGGAATAATATGAATTACGTATTTGAGTTTGTGTGTGTGTTAAGCCGCGTTATAAAGTTAGTTACAAGACGGCGGCGTGTAGTTCGCACTTACGGATTTCCGTAATTTACAGAAAAATGAAAAATATTTACCTGCAATTTTTTTTATTGATTCGGACTCAGAATTCATAGCCAAGTTACCTCCTAGAAAATGATGCGGCTTTAAAACAACATCTTGTATTAATGTTATGTTTAAATTGTATTGTAAAAAATTTTGACAAATCATTTTAATTTCCCGCCCAAACTTTTAAAAAGTATTGATTTATTACAAAGCTAGTGATGTGATGTACAACATTAATTATGATTAGTCGATTATTTATTAGGATATAATTATATATTTTTAAATCGATTTTTATATCAATTACAATAAATTTAATATGAATGTTACTTATTTATAAATTTTTTTTATTCTCAATTAGTTGGAGTATGGTGTGGAGCCTGAAGCGTTGCGATACAATCCTGACCCACCAGTTTACGCACAATGCGAGACAACACCTTCCATTACTATGGATGCAATACGGTAAATAACTTATTATCAGTGTATTTATATGAATGTAATATTTTTTTAATTATTATTTTAAATGTATATATTTTCTTTCCAGCTACATGTATGTAGGCGGTGGTCTTCGACCAGCTCGATGGCGACAGTGTGGTCGCTGCGGTTCACGCGCTCTCGCCGCTTCGCAACCAAACAAGCATCCGCTGCAGAGCGCTTATGATGGACGGTTTCTGGCTGACTGCAGGTAAAAATCTATTTATACTGTTACTCAAATATGAAAGGAAGGGTTTTTTTTATAAAACTAAATAAGTAAAATTTTGTATTGAAAAATATTTGACACAATGTTAATGTTATTCCTTATTTGTTACAGATGCGGTGGAAAATGGACCTTATTCTCAAATATATAAGACTCTCACTAGTTTGTAAGCTATAAAAATAGCTAAGATTTTGAGATATTGTTGTTGTAAATGTAAATAAATTATTTTATACTTTGATGATTTCGTTATTTATTCTTAGCAACCTACCTATTATATTTACAGATATGACAGCCACAAATATGCTTTAGAACAAAAACTCTTTGCTCCAATATACAAAACAATATTGAACGGGACCGCTCTACTTAGAATAATAAAGCAGATACGAAACCGAATCTTATGCTGTATAAAGTTGCGGGGTTTGTTTGAACGGTTTAATCTCTAAAACTAATGGTCCGATTTGAAAAATTATTTTTGTGTTCGATAGTCCGTTTATCGAGGAAATCTGTATATAAGATATAAAACATCACGCTACGATCAATAAAAGCCGAGCAGAGAGAGTGAAACCGCGCGGCAGTAGCTATGTAATACAATAAAAATAAAGCCTAACACGAGACCAAACCTTAGACGAGCTAGAACTATTTTGAAGTTAAAGACTCGAGCAAAGTATAATATTGCCATGAAACATTTGGAACAAAATCAGTTTTTAATCATACACAAAACAATGTCATGAGATTGGTTTTCCATTTATAGTTATGCATATTATTCCGTAAAATACAGAAACAATACGAACTGTTGGTAACCGCATTTGTTTACATTTATACAACATGGCTAGGTATGCAGTGCCACCGCCCACTGCACTCTGCGCATGTCATCCTGCAATTTGTAATGTATAGCTATTGTACAATAAACAGACAGCTAACGCTTAACGCCAACATCGATCGATTTACGACGCGATTTACGAGGTCAATTAGAGACGTTACTGCCAATGTTCTGTAAATAGTTTGTCGTTATTTCTGGATGAAAGAGAGTTGTATAAAGAAAAGCAAAAGGACCTAATTACACTTTTCGAGTTGGTAACTATTGGAAATTCTGTAGACACAAATAATATTTTTAATTACACTTCACAAAGCTATTTATAATCACAACTTCTTATTGTTTTTGTATTTTATGCAAATAAATTTTATATGCAATAGATGTAAAATATTGTTAGCCACAAAACATATTGCATTGGTGTATGTTTTTTAAAAATTAAAATAAAATGTATTTATAATCGACTAAAACTATTGTGTTTATTATCGATTGACAGTGAAATGACAGGACCATCTTGACATCATTTCACTTCACTAGTTGTCGTTGCGAGAATCGTTGCGAAGCGTTTGCTGCGACTGCGTCCAAGTTTAATTGCGAATTTCCTGTATTTCTCGCAACGTAACACAGTTTATTAACGTTTTAACCAATATTTACATAGTAAATACATAAATGGCTGACAAAAAAGGTATTTATACTGTTGATTTATTGTTTTCTTTGTTCTTTTCTTTTAATACGTTTTGACATGAGTAACGTCACGGTAGGGCCTTGGAATACAAGTTTTCGCTAGTAAAACAATGATTTAATCCCCCGACACGAGATTATTGCGTCGGAAGAGGGTTATTTCGCGTTGATTTAGCTATAATATTGATATTACAGTGTTGCGCGATAGATCGATACTCGCTATAAATTCAAGATGGTTGACCACACTTAGATTCGCAAGGCGGGATCTATTTGTTCTAATTTTAGGTCCATTCATTACTAGAACTGATTCATGAGCCCTAATTACTCCTGGTAATGGGCGCTTTCAGCAATACTGTACGGTGGGACCTATTCAGTTGTCTAAAACATGAACATCTGTTGTGAATTTTAATTTTTCTTCCCTACCTACCATTGCAGAAAATTTGAAGTATTGTCAGCAAGTTGGCTTGTAATCCTTGATCGATTTGAGCAGTAAATATTTTATCTCCTGTTGACCTTTTGGGAAGTAGGTCAAGCAAGTCATAGCTGTGCCATGATAGTTCAAACATTACACTCATCTGCATAAATAATTAATTATTCAAACAATATGGCTCTTGTAGGACAGAATACAGACTTATATCTTAAAAGTAATGACCTATTTCTAAAAAAACAATTCAAACTCATGAAATTACACAAGATTGAGAAATCAGAACTAAATACTGTTCATAAAAATGAGATCTATGAATAAAAAAATGAGCATTCATTTTATGTAAAGTATTTAATCATTGCACATTTTGGTGTGTTTGTATAACAAATCCATTCAACTATCAAGTATAATGAATTCTGTCAATTCTTAGGAAAACAATAGAAAATAGCACACCACTCTACATTGAGATGCTGGTTACATAATGTGGCCAAACATTACAGATAATTAGATATTTAGTATGCAACCTTGTGACGTTACTAGTGTCAGAACAAGCGTCCAACTCCATACAATAAGCTTTGTAGTTCCATTACGTTCCAAATATACAAATATTAATATCTTAAAGACACCAGATATATGCAGAATACATGTGTCGCAAAATATCGGCCTAACGTTGGCTGTGCAATATTTGACAAATATTTTACTGTGCCAATGTCTATTGGTTACCAATATTGGTGGTGGAGAGACCTCACTCATATTGCTGAGAGAAATGATGACTCATTGTGCTGGTCCATTATTGGCTCTGGTATAGTTTGAGGTCAAACTTGATTTTGCATCTTAAGTTTCTGCTCTGCATTAGCTTATTATTTCCGAATGCTTGTTCCGTATTGATCTCCAGCCATACTGGGTAGTACTGAGTAAGTAATGAGCAGTTGTTGGTCGGTATGGGTGAGGTCTCTCCGGCAGAGAGTGTAAGCCAGTGCTGAGTGTGCGCGGCATAAGACATGATGATAATACAAGTTACCCACGCCCCCTCCCACTCCCAGCCGCTGCCCCCCCTCTACAGGAGCCGCGCGTCCGTCGGCGCAGTCGTCGCGCGCCAGTCGACTAATCGCTATCATGTAATGAAATCATATAGAATTTTTCTTTCTTTATTTTTCTTTTTTTTGGAAACATAGTTAAAGAGAGACAAATATATGATATGTGCGTATCGGCGTGTGGACGATCGTATGTGTTATTAATTCGATTGTAACCCATTCGTTGGGGCTTGGCTGCCATAATAGCAGCTACAAAAACATAGCTAACAATACAATTACCCTGTACATTTGTCTAAATAGACAGATCATGGAAATGCACAATAGTCAATACAGTTTCATCATAGAAAAGAAACCTTGAAGAAAATTATAGCAGTCAAGTCACTATTATGTTTTTCTATACAAATCGGACGAGTATCTATGTTTGAGACACTACAGTTTTTGCTGACACATGTTTTTGTGTACACTATAGTAAAATGTTGGTTCACAAATCCTCGCGGATGTTAATGACTTGAAGCTAAATGGTTGGCTGTACAGTAGATGTCTTTGGCTTGATACTATTTGTATAGTGTTATGAGAAACATCCTGGATTTGTGCCTAAAAGAAAAAAGAAGCATGAATACTCGTCCGGTGTCCTAGTTAACCATGTTTAAAAAAATAAGTTGTTCTAAGTCCGAGAGAGTTCTATCTAATAACAGATATTTATTGATATAATTATATTATGATGGGACTCTTTTCTTTTTCTTTTAAACCTGTGTCTTAGCTATCTGGTATATTTTTTTTAGTTCTCAATATTTAGTTCACAGCTTATTTTTTTATTGTTTTTAACACTCAGTTTTACGTTGTAATCATTGCTGAGGTTGTTTGGCTTGATATTTTTTAACTAAATTAAATTATAAAAAAGCTATGATTGCAACTGGTTCTGTGCACCCTAAGTAACGATGAGGCGATGTTATATTATTTTTTTTTTATTTTTTTTTAATAAATAATATTCATTGTCTCACAAGTTACAAAGCTTCCCTATTTTTTTTTATTTGACCTAATAGGGATGTCTTGTGTTTGTTTTATTTTCGTTTTTCTTTATTTAGACTAAGCTAACTTTTTAGCGTTAATATTTAATGAAAATGAATGACGTTTGAATCAAATTAAACAGAAGTTAGACAAAAACCGTCATTTTTTTCAGTTTTTTGTTCTAGATTCTTAAAAAAATCTAGTGACAAAAGGGCACAAAAAAGCTAGCTACTTTTTGTTACTGACAAATAGATGCGACTTTTACTTCCTTACTCAGACATAAAAAAATCTTTACAAAGGTAAAAATCGTGTCTCTTAATCTAAGGTCGTGTGTTTAAAAACTAACCCAAGTAGATGCAAAATAGTAAAAAAAACTTTTTTTCGAAATAAACAAAAATTGTAAATAAAAAATCTATTTTGCATCTAAAATGTTTACAAATGTATGTTTGTGGACATATTTAATGTAAGGTGATGGTAAAATTGGCAATAACGGTTAATTTATTAAAAAAATGAATGTTAATGCCAATTTTTCTAGTTGTATGTCTAATTTTACACAATGTTTACTAACATTTTAGATGACGTATCTCTAAATACTAAATCTAAGATGTGACGTTTAATCCTTGGTTTTTTTATTATTTATTTATTTAAACTTCGGGCGAAAACAAAGGATTTTGGGTCAACACGAATCAATATGTTAACAGGAATGACACAATGTTAGTGCGTGTGTGACTAGATGTAAGACAACAAATAGATATCACCAATTAAAATTGACACGAATAAATTATTCCTTCATGATCATGAGTACCAGTCGTGGCCCGAAACTTGTCGAGAATACTCGAACAATTGTGTTACTGAGCGAAAAATAAAAAAAGTACCAAGATACCTTAAGGGCATTTTGAATTTTAGAGATTTTTTTTATCATAAACTTGTTTTTTTTGTTGTGTTGTGGTGATGTGTATTTGTAGACTGTTGCCTTTACAACAGCACTGTGGTACAGGTAACAATGCATGCAAACATAAGCTTAACCGAAGGACAGGGAAGTATGCCAGTAGTGAGGGCCTCAACTATCTGGCAGTCGGGCCAGACACTATCACGGACCTCACGTTCCAACACCATAAACTAGGAACCACATTTTTTACAGTTTTTATTTTTATTATTCTTTTTCTCAACTTATTTTGGTCTTCTCTATTCTTTGAGTCTTTTCAGGGATCCGGACGTTGATTTAATTAAATTTTAATTCACAGCAGTCATAACATTGCGTTCTGCGGTTTGTTGTTATATCTATTGATATGGCAGTAAACTACCCTGCTTGTTGCAATTCTATAATAATTAAGCTTTTACAAACATTTGACAGTATTTTGTGTTCGGCCATATTGAAATTTTACTACAGTTACATATTAAGTTGAAATGAATTAAAATATAAGTAACGGTACTTGCATTAATTTCAGTATGGGCTATGATTTAGTAATTAATGTTTAGGTGACGGTTGTGTCCAGGTTTTTTGTGGTTTGCGTTCATGAATTAACTTGTAATATGAGAATTTTGCTGTTTGATAGCAGTTCGGTTGTTTTTTTTGTAACAAGCATGCGGTCACTGCGTTACATTTGAAGCTTTTCTTTGTTTGATGTTTTAGTTAGTCCGTAGTATACGGTAGCATTTCATAGTGACATTCGTTTATTTTAGTAGTTTGTTTTTGCATGATTTATTTGTGTTACGTTGTGTTGTCACTCTGCATGTTTCTGTGTCCTTCAACGCACTGATATCATAGCTCTTTTTGATTTTTTTTGCTTTTCCTGCATCAAAATGCTTCTTTAGATTGAAACAGCAAAATATCGTATGCATAAAGAGATACAACAAAAAATCTTGGTACACTTGTTCAATAGTTAGTAAATGAATAGAATATGAATATTTTTTTTATTTAAGGAATGTTCACATCATGTATACACGTTTGGTCGTTTTGTCGATCAATTTCTATGACTCTGAACTTGAGTAAGACATCAGAAATAATATAATTATATTGGCTCTTCATAACTTCGTAATATAACGAATAAGAGCTTTCTCAGTCCAAGATGGCCGCCCCAGGCTGCATCCAAAGAGTTCAAGGTCATATTATAAATAAATATTGTATTTTTTAAAAGGTTCCTTATCGTGTGATGATTGTTTTGTTATTTAAGAATTCGTAATGACAATACTCGATGGTCACACTAGCTCTATTGCACAAGGCTTGATAAAAACCTCCACTGATTATGTGGACAGCTACAGATTAAAAAATATAAAAAATAAATATTTTTGTCGTGACCATCATTTGGAAAATATGGTGGATTATGCACAATGGTCGATTTAAACGCGGATTTTTGACATAGTGGCTTCATATAGTCAGTGCAGCTAGGGTGACCATTAAAAATAAGGAATGCATTGTAAATAACTGATTTGGTAGGCTTTCAGCACTCACTCCGTGTTGGAACATAACACGGCCTACCAAATTGACTGTATACGTTTCTTCGGAGGGCAAATTTAAATATTTTTTCTTTAAAAGATATTTATATTTGTCGCTCCGAAGTGTTGTCGCCTTGACGGGGCTCTCAGGTTGCTAGTTCAATGTGTTGAGAGCCCGCGTGTGGGCACCGCGTTGTATGGGCATCGCTTGTCGTTAACACTGACGTTTGTGAATTTTGCGTGGGTGAAAACTTAGAAATAAATTTAGGAATAACTGCATAATGTATAGATTTTTTGGTCATATTTGTGAAATTTTGATGTTTTTCACCCACGCTCTAGTCGGGTAGACAATGATGCTATAGTCGACATTGTCTCATTTTTACATTCCCCAGTAGATATGTAAAAACGAGACATTAAAATATCATTACTTTAAAAAAAAACTAAATTCAAAATTGCCACTGAAATACAAACCTTACGACTATAGTATTTAATTTGTGAACTCGACTGCACCACTGCGTCCAGCGTGAATGCTCGGGCTTGGGTTGCGGCGCGCAATCGCGCGACATCGCGTCACACACACTGACGTACGAACACACCACTATACTTTATACATGGGTATTTTAATTCCTCTCTAATTACTAAATGGGTCATAAAATTGAATTGTTTAATCATTTTTCTTGACGTATATTAAACTACCCATATTATTTTCAAATGTGGTACGTTGTGTCCACGTTCGGTAGTGGTGTGTGTGGTCAGTGCGTGTGTCGCGGCCCCCCAGTGGGGTCCCGCGTTAGAGCTGAGTGTTGTTGCAGTGACCCCGCCGCTGGGCGCGTATCCTCAACCGCAGCCCCCTCAGGGGCCCTTCCTGCCCGCACCGCCGCATCAGGCCGCGCCACAATATGGAGGTAAGTCCTGAAACTACATTTTAATAACTTAAAATTAGTCGTGTCAGTGGTCGTAACGGATTTCGGCAATTATTGATTTTATATCAACTTTCACTGGTCTTCTTTTTTTTTTTGGAGAGAACCCTTATTAAGCAGGAGTAAGATGCGAGATGGTCATTACCTCATTAAAATTACTTTGGTGGCCCCGTATATCGATCAATTCCAGAGCTTCATAGTTTAACGTCTGTTACTAGAGTTAAGATAAAACCGAACACCATTATTTATTGTAATGGTGGCCAACGAGCAGAATGATCAGAAGCTATCGGCACCACCCGGGAACACCCGTAACATCAGGGGAGTTCAAAGTGCTTGCCAGCGTTTTGGGAATTGGGGATGGGAGGATAGGAGAATTGGAGAATTGGAGAATTGGTTTTTCGCCGGCATTCAGTGAGGCCGTGGTATGACTCCGGTGGAGTCGACCCATTCGTGCTGAAGCATGGCTGGCCCACTTACCATCTGTCCATTTGCGTCATGTTATTTGTATGCGCAGTGGCGGGCGGATCTCCATACGGCGTGACGTTTGGCGGCGCGGGAGCGGGCGCCGGCGGAGTGTACGCGCCGCCGCCGTACGAACAACTGCAGCACCACCAGGCTATACCTGCGCTCAGTCAGCAGCTGCCGGTCAGTAGATAAGCCTACTTACTAATTCAAATATTATAAATACTATAGTTTGTGTGTTTGTTACTCCTTCACCTTAAAATAGCTGAAGAGATCGAGATGAAATTTGAAACAGGGGTAGGTTATGGTCTCGAATAACACATAGAACAATGTTCTTCCCACGAAAACGCAAATAAACCTGAAAATTATAATTCATATTTTTCAGGTTTTTAAATCGAATAACAGACGAATCACCTGATGGTAAGCAATCTGCGTCACCTATGGACATTCAAAACACCAGAGAAGTTCAAGTGCGTTCCCGATTTTTTGTTGCGGGATCCAAGACAGTTATAGTGTCTCTGGAATGAGCTGGACTTCAGTGTTTCGGTGTTTGCATGGTTGTATCTACTGTAGATCCTGGTGCACAAGAGTTACAGCGGCTCTGAGAGGTTGTAGAGGACTTGTCCCTGTAAATAGATTGCGTTAGCGGTCTCTTGGGGTATTGGGGATGTTGGGGGGTGAAATATAAAGCAAACGCTCTTTCGGCTTGCTGTGAGGCCGTGGTATTACTTAGGTCGAGTTGGTTTATTCGTGCCGAAGCGTGGCTCTCTTCCATGTATTTTCTGGTCGATAGAAAGCCGGTATTTATGTCAAACATCGAGAATAAAGACCTCTAGGCCATTAGAACATCATCTTTCAAATCTTTTGTGTTTTTCTATCAGAACAATCTTAATATGATATATTTCGACTACAGATGTACAGTCCGGCGGCGGCAATGTACGCGGCGGCGGCAGGGTACCCCGGCTACATCGGGTACCCCGTACAGTACTACCCGTACTACCCCACCGCCGTGCAGCCCTCCATACAACCACTGCGACCCACCATCATGATCCCCGTGAGTATTACTCTATGATATACTTATAGATAGCTTGTCTAACTTCAATATCCTAATATCACCAGGTACAAATGTAGGAAGACTTTTTGTCCAATCCCAGCAGTTGTCAAATATTGAATATCCAATAGCGTGAGACTAGCTAATTTCCTATTGGACGAAAAACGAGTGGTTCACATTAGCGCCATCTAGTGAGGAAAAATACGGTAGGCCCGATTAGCTACACCAACAGTCCACTACTACTATGGGCCTCCTTTATAAAAGAGGTTTGCATAAATCAGTTGTATAGTTAGTTGTAGTATGAAATATGGGTACTTTATAAATATTGACTAGAATACAAATGTTCCGTGGCAAACTTTTAATAACACTATAAAAATAACTTAACTGTTGAATTATGCAATATTCATACACATCACAGGACAGTCCACTGAAAAAAGAACAAAAGAAAGAAAACCTGGTGGCGTATTATGACGTCTTAAAGCCAGAGTGGTTCCGTTGAGGGAACGAGATCTAGCTAGACGACTTGTATAGCTCTGTTTCTTTCCCTCAATGGAACCATTCTGACTGGACGTCATAATAACCCCGCAGGTTATTTGCACCATTACAAACTTTCGACAAGAAAAATAGTAAAAAAGAAAAACTGAACATGCTGCAATAAGGCTAGTTCTCAGCTAAATACCGTGACAGATGGACTACGAGCGTCCTCTGAGAGTCCTCTAAGACTTTGACATTATCTCCATCTCCATTCTTGGCAGAGTTGAAGATCGCAGATTAAAAAGCAGTGTTAACGCTTGGTTTCTGAAAATCTGACATCACTAAGATTCAACTACACAAAATGTTTATAGCCTATCTAACGCTTTTGACATTTCTATGCAAAACAAACTGGTCGAAGTTTAATTTCAATACTTTCATGTTGTTTCCAATAACTTTGTGCATATAAACATAAGTGTTCCACAGGGTTCGCTATTGGGTACATTTTTTTTGTTGTATTGCCTTTGTTTACATTTTTATACAGTGTGCCGCAGGGTGCTATTTCGGGTCCAACGCGACATTTTCAATACATAATTATTAGTTTTCGCATTCCAACTGTATATAGTAAAAACTAATGGTAACCTTTATGTATTTACATTTCTGTGTACTTTTATTTACTTTGAACAAAATCAGGGTGTGCCCCAGGGTTTGATACTGGGACCAATCTATATATGTAATTGTTATTGTATGCAGAACGGTTTCGAGGCGGGCGGTAGGTTCGAGGGCCTGGCGCAGACACTGCTGCCGCCCGCGCCGCCCGGCGTGCCCCCCTCCCCCGCGCACCTCGCCGCCATACAGCCGCATCAAGTGCTGTGAGTATCATTGTCTACAATTATTTCGTCGGATATGTGGTGAATTCTATTTTTCGAACAGTAGACGAGTAAACCACGATATAATATCGCATTGCGATCCATCATTGCAGCAGAATATATGTTTGAAAACGTAAAAGACATTTCAAACTTAGATTTTTCTACATTAACATTCTGAAGGAGTGGATGCTCATACCAAATATAACACCTAGTTTTCGGCGACCAAGTTACCCTACAAATAAACCTACAGAATAAAGAGTTTTGCAACATATCAAGTCGAAAATTTAAATTAGAATCGAAATCAAGAACACTTACTCTACAGTCAACAGTCAAACATTATAGCTTTAACCATTCCACTGATGTTAAATGTATGAGTGATTTAATCATCATTAAATCAGCCACAAAACGCCCCCTGTTGAAGATAGAGTTCCAGATCGCTGAACATAGGCCTCCTCCAATGACTTACAAACCGGTCAGAATTGAAATATTCCCTTACACTTTGCAGGTGGCGCTAAACAAGGCCGCGGCAGCTAGCCCGACGTTGGAGATCGCCCGCAATACTACATGCCTTACCTCAGTGAGTGGACACTACCTCACTCACTCAACACTCACTCAGTGAGGCGACTGATCACTCATTCCCACTCACTTGGATAAAATCACTGATTTATTAAGAAAATAGTATTTTTAACTTATAAAATTGCCGATTTTTTAACGAAAGTTTCATAGCCAAAAGGCCAGCAATGCATTAGTAACTCCTCCGGTGTTACGGGTGTCCATGGACGGCGCTGATTGCTTACCATCAAGTGATCCACACGCCTTATCCCATAAAAAATTGGCAATTTTATAGGTATACAATATCTAAGATACTAATGGCGTAATCATAGTAAAAAACACGAATATAGAAAAGTACGTTTTCTTAGATTTAACATAAGCTTTAGACAAAGTGGTTCATATGTAAATGTCAATCTAAAAAAAAAATACTTTTTTATTTAATGTTTTCTATCTGTTATGTGTCTGCAATCAGTGATTTTAAAACCTAAAGTGAATATAGAATTTGTTTTAAAGGAAAATAAACTTTATGGTCATAATAATAATGTTCATAATATCACAAGTATTGTTGTTCGAAATATATGGTTGCTATATATATGTTGTAGATCTGTTATAGGATATATATAACGTTAGTTGTAGTTTAAAAGAAACAGTCGCCTCACTAAATTCTGTGATTTTACAAAAAAAAATCTACGGGAAAGGAGCTATTTGTACGTAATTATGTACTTTTAATTTTTCCTGTAAAATGTATTTATTAATTTATACAAATACAATATAATTATATATAGTTATAGACACGAAATTCTCTCCTATAACTTCCTTTCAAAATTTTCCGTGTATAGATGGCGTGAGCGTAGTTTTAGGTCCTGTAAGACTAATCATTATATTATTAAATGAGAATCGGACTTAAAACGATGCCAGCGCCTCTATCACAGCTTCTATCGTCTTCAAAAATTCATCCTATGTTTGTTCCAAAAACATTTTGTATATGGACGTAACTACAATAATTATATGTATTTGTATGTTTGTTTGTCTACGAACAAGTGTCTTATGGGAGATATATATAAAGAATATATACAGACATAATTATCTCATATATAAAAATAGATTTTCAATCTTATATTTTCAGTATAAAGTTGAAATTTTATCAAAATACCTTGATGTACTATATTTCCTAAGACATTGGTTCAAGGAATGATAACTTATATATATAAATTATATATGTTAATAATTATAATATATAATTATCATATATTATATAAGGGCGTGTCACTACGTCGGTGCCTAGCCTGAATAATGACTGTGATGACGTTTTCACTCGCTAACTTTGCCACCACTGGAAAATAAACTTTGATACCATCGAATATGGCTTAGAATCGAATAAACAAGATCTTTAATATACAAAATTGAGTCTATAGTTTTAGGAATAAAGTTTAAAATGATCTGTTATGAAATATCTTTATCAAAATGCTCTCTAATTTAGTTTTTAGTTTTACAAATAATTCGATTTTAAACAAGATCTGAAGTTTACACAACAATAAAACCCCGCAAAATTACACCAGAAAGCAATATACTATTAAACAAATTCAGGCTTTAATATTAGCCATAATCCCCGCTTTTGACTAATAACCTGGGGATTATTAATTACCGAAACACTACAGCTAGTAGCAAATAGCTATCTATTAGTAACTGATTACAGTTTTAAAACAGAAATTACTTAAAGTTATTTGAATAACTAGTATTGTTATTGTGAAAGTGTGTGGTGAAGTTGTCGAGTGTCTATGTAACAGCCGTGGGCTGTCGCAACGCTATAGTATTAATATCGCCGACACATGAGTAAGACTAGTTTAGATACGGCGGCGGCTCGGGGGTAGGCAGACATCTATCACAACACTACCATATTTTACGTACACGTGTCTCAAAACCCTCTATCAGGATAATTCTGTGTGTTATAAAATATGAAATTCATTATAAAATACATTTGAAAGTCAAAATACTTTAAATACTTCTTCTACGTAAAACTCTGGCGTAGTCAAAGTCAAATAAATTATTTCAATTAGATCAATACAAAGCTTTTATGACAATCAAAATGTTAGATGAATATTCTATATCAGTCGAACGAAATTATTAGCTGTCAAAACCGACTAATTAAAAATTTAATAATGTAGTCTAACCAATGTGGTATAATTTTTAGTACATTTCGGAGGACAGACGTCGGTGATCGGTCGTTACATGTATAATACTGACTTCCGGACAAGTTCCAAAAATAATACTAAGGAAAAGATGAAAAAGTTTGCATGCATATCTCAAAAGCCGTATTAAATAGTTCTCGATTCAACAAAATTATTTTTCTAAATAAAATTCTTCGGTTCTAATACCTTTTATACGTATAATCATAAGGTTCAGAATCGTAAAGTTCGAGGTGACGCACAATTTATCAGAGGGGCCGCCGCGGGATTAGTTATTATAAATAAATAAATAAAAAATATAAACAAAGCGGTTGTGCGTGACGCGAGTGAGAATGAGTGAGCGAGACGGACATATTTCTGTTTGTTACGTTTGTAAGGGGCGTGGTCGGGGGCGGGGTTATCAGAAAGTTACTAAAATATTGTTAAAAATAGAGATATAAGTAAAACGTGTTTGAGAATGTCCATTTTGCGTGTTGAACAGACTATTTGAAATTCTATTCGAAAATAAAGTATTAAAATGTAATTTAGTTCCCTGCCTACGACCCTACGAACGCGGCGCAATGATATAATATGTATATTTCAGCATGATATGGTAGTTTAAATCTAAACTCGTTTATTCGTTCAACTGCCATTTTCTCACATGGCAACACTAAACAAACGTTGCCTCCTAAAAAAAACAGTATTTTTGAAAATACAAAACTAAAATATTCTTTAAAAATATTTTTACTATACAATGCCAAATATTGCGTTGGCAATACTGTTGCTTGGTGTTGCCAGGTGTGAATATTAATTAAACCGTTAGGTGTATATTTCCGAAAGACTTTGGTTTGTAAGCTTGGTCCGTTGTAGACGGACGGAAGAATCTCAATTTGTTATTATTTATATTGTAGAAAGGACATTGAAACGTATATTTAGACAGGGTCATATTCAAGATTTGTCATAGATGATACTAAAATTAAACGAAAATAAAGTTGGAATGTCGAATAATTACTTTCAATGACTTACAACTATCGTGAGACATACTAAATAAATTATATGTTTTTCGGCTCACAAACGTAACTGTTTGACGAGGAACTTGACTACTTTCAAGCCAGTAGCAGCGCGACATTCGCCGCAGTATGCTGCTCAGGAATATAAGCCTCTAGCATGGCTTGATGCTAGTCGAGTTCCTCGTCAAACACTTACAGGAGTAAGCCGAAAAACGTAATCATTAATTAAGAATATCATAATCTGAGAGACATATTTAATCTATAAAATATATATTATCTAAACACATAAAGATTCAAAAGTGAATTCTTCATTATTATCATATATTCCTAATATTGAACGAAAGTCCTGTCCTAACTATATGTTACAATGTCCAATCCAGAAACCATTTTACTATAAAAGTGCAGCAGTTTGTCTTTTACATTAGTGCGAACTGATTTAAAATTACTTTTCCAAACATGTAGGAATTTCCGTAACGCATAACATAGCTATTTGAGCTATGTATAATAGTAATAATATTCACGTTTTTAATTTCTAAGAATTTCTTTAAAGAACATGAAATTTTATTATAAAAGAAGATTAATATTCGTTTTCACCAACAACCCCTAAACCAACTCTTAACTAAAAGTTACCTAGCTTGATGTACCACCTACTTGTACTGTTGGTGGAAACCGTATCGTTTGGCACCTTTCTTAGCTTAGGGGTCTCTTAAAATTTAGTAGAAGATGGTAAAAACGGAAATAAATGTACTGAATTTAAGTCTAAACTCTATAAAGATGAAGTCTATGATGAGTTTTGTAAGTGTAATACGGTAATTCTGTGCTATCTCTCGAATGATTCCTAAGTCAGTTTTTTCTACATTTTAATTCCACTAAGCGTTTCGGGACTTACAGTAGCTGACAAATATATGTATACAAGAAAACAAATTCAATTATCTCAAAATATCTTACATATTTTTGTCTGTAACTGTAATTTGAACATGAATTTTTAATCTGCAATCCCCGTTACGCAATATTATCTCATAAATAAGAAATAAATTCAAAATATAAGCGGACAGTGTTATTTAACACTAAAATAAACCGAATTCAATGATTATTTTTTCGAAAATAATGTTATGAAGTTCAAATGATGAATTTTAAGCATTTTATTATGCGTTTAAAATTGTCTCTTTTGTAAATGTTGCGAGTTATTTCGCGGGGTTATTTAAACTTGTATTAGTAGTACGGATATAGAGAAAGAACACCATACATTTCCATAATTATTACCTCAAAAGTGTAATTATTAAGTGACAAATTATGTTAGGACACTATAATCGTACGACCGGGTCACGCAACCAACGAACTGTACCGTTGTATGGAGGGTATCTTACCCGGTGGCAACTTGTTACCGATGAAATCTGTTCCGGTGTCACTGTAGAGTGTAAACACCATGGTTGCGCAACTAGTCGGGCGACTATAGCGTTTTCTAATGAACAAGTTAAAGTTTTAATATACTCCGCGAGTAACTGTACATTTACTAGATACATTATTTTAATGTGAGATCCATAGGCAACTATGAAATACATATATTGTTTTGAGGCGACCTGACCATATTTGCCCAAACGATCTTGCCTGAAGTAACTTTGAAATTGAAGCATATCTATTAGAATGTTTTTTTAAAGAATAAATGTTGGGCAATGTTGGTCTCCTTGCCGAAACAATAGCCCAGCGTTGGGCGAGATGAGATCTTTTTGTACTAGTTTATATATTGAGCCTTTTTGATTATATTGCATTTTTTGTTGATTAAATCATGTTATTTGATTGTAGTAGCGAGGGAGCGAGTGTGACAGGTTGTGTTAGTGATTTCACTAACTAAATGTTTTCTAAACATTGACTTTTCAGAGCATTTTTTATTCGGACAAAATGTAATGTCAGCGAAATCACTAACATGGTCGTAGGAGAGTACCCACTGTGGTAGTTATTTATTCCCGGAGTGAGGGACCATCGGGCGGTAGATGTCGTGGCAAACTTCTGTGACCACGACATACAAGCCATTGATTGAAATGAATTTTTGTTTCCAAATTACAACTGTAAAGTTTAGCATCTAATGCCATCTTCACACTGCAAGAGATATTGTCCAACTGATTCGGTGGACTGCTTTTTATTTTATTTTTTATTTTTACTATGGTAACACTGAATTTTTCGATTATATCTCTTGTGTGGACAGCGCTAAAGTTGAAATTGTGTACCACATTATACGATTGTAATATTTATCTGTGGTCCATATACAATTATTGACAACAAAACGATGTTTTGACTACAAACGAATGTCAGTATCGATGCATTCGAATTAAATCAATATACCAAATGAATTGAAAACTTCATCTTTTTGGAAGTTGATTAGATTTCTTTTAAAATTAATGAAATCTCAATAAATCTCTGATTTCCAGATTAATAGTACGATTGTAACACACAAATTAATTTCAGCTTTAGTGCGAGAGATGCTAACAGTACGACATCTTTTAACTTTTTCCTAGAAAATGAATTTTTATTGTTTTAAGTCATATATACCAACAATGATTTTAAACGTAAATCGTAAAGGGCCAGTATAATCATTGCTTTGCAAACGAATCTATTTTTAAATGAAAGCAAATACCTTGATATTTTTAACGAATTGTAGCATTTCATGATTATACAGTCCCTCAATATTTTCTTGTAACGAGTTAAAGGCTAAGTTTTGTGGCTAATATAACATAGTTTGCCTACTAGTCTACGTAAAACAGCTCAGCGTGTTTATATTTGTCCACAAAGCTTCTGAAGCCTCAGGACGAGTTTGTACTAGGTTTGAGTAATCGAGACCGCGATTTAGGTGTCAATTACTTGAATCAAACAAACTTGTACTAAGGCCTGATGAATATACAGAATGTTAAAATTTTTAGTTTGTACGACTTTGTATGGAAGTCTACTACGACTCGGGTACATAGTAAGTGAAAGTGGGTTTTGCTCAAAGTATGGATCTATATTAGCAAGTCACGTGCAATATATAGCATAATTATTATTTTGTTTCCAATAAAACTATTAAAAATCGATTTTTTGTTTTTTTTTTATAACCTAACTAGCCTCCGAGTGGTCGCAAGTGTGATTGCCGGGTCGGGCAAAGTACTACTGGGGTTTTTTAAAAAAAATCTCAGTAGTAGTACAGAGTCCTCACACAGAGTCACAGAGTAGAGAGAGGAATTGTGCCCAGTATATGGCAACAGGCTCACCCCTATTACATGGGACCCAAAACATAAATAGTGAAAAATGGGTGTTACATTGTACAGTGGCATTAAGTGCCGTAATGTAAACTGCCTACGGCCTAAAGGCGTGATGTTGTGAATTTATCGAAGTAATCACCCATGCAATTAATGCATCTTTGCCAATGCAGAGGCAGTTTATTGATGCGCTTCTTAAAAAAATTAGCTAGACAACACATTCTTCGAAGGCATTTCGCAAGGTCTGGTGAGTAGAACGGATGAAGGAGAGCTTCGAACCCCAGTTCTTGCAACTTGGAACCATCTGCTGTGCAGTATGAGGTTCGCGCATTGTCGTGCAGGAGCAGTTGAGAGGTTGACCAATGCTGGTTGGAGATGTGCCAGCTTCTCCACCATTGTGTTGAGTTCTTCACAGTACACATCTGCAGTAATGCTCACCCCGTTTGGTGAGAAGCTGTGATGAATCACACCGGCGTAAGATCACCAAACAGTGACCATCAATTATCTAGGGGAAAGTTTTCGTTTAGGGTAGATGTTCCCAAACTTATTTAGTCTCTAAAGCCTCTTCTCACACGGAGACGGTTTGATCATCAATTACCACGCTTGCTTAATGCCGGTTGGCGATTACAAACTTATAATCAGAAATTATAAGCCCGGGTTTCCTTACGATGTTTTCCTTCACCGTTTGTCAGTGGTGTCTAGATAATCTCTCACCGCACTCGCACCCTCAAGCATGAGAAGCAGGCGTCTTAAACCTTCGGGCCACCACGACATAATTTTGTAGCGCCCCTATTTATTTTATGTGTAGCCGAAACTATTTATAGGCATTTGGCACGTAAATAATCCCGCTTTGGGACGGTCATTAAATGATTACCTACTCTTGCTTTGAGCCAGAGCTCTGGTAACCTGCAAGGTCATCCACAGCCCGGTCGGGCGTCAGCCATACTGGGCCCCATCTGTGGTGGCTCGATGGCTCATTGAGGCGCGCGCGGGAGGCGACACGCCGCACGCTCGGGTCTGGTTCTGAGAGCTTAGCATGAGTTTGTTTTACATCGAAAATAATCGAAACGAGACCGTGTTCGGCGCTCTGGTTGGTTTGTTTATGGGAGCCTGCCTCTGGTCAGGCGGCGAGCTAAGGTACCCGTGCTGGCCGAAGACCGTCTAGCGATCTCAGACAAGTGTCTCCCGTGACGGTTGGGGCGTGAGGAGGCTCGTTCTCTCACGCGCTCCGCCACCTCCTTAGCTAGGATGACTGCTTCGTAGAAGGAGGAGAGTCCCCAGTCCCCTTCGCTTCGTACCTTGGCTTGAACCAGAGCCAGTCACGTGAGGTCGCCGTCGCCGATCACATCCCTGAGGACACGGCGGAATTCATCTCATGCGGGGCACACCGCCACCCTATGCTCCACGATGTTGTACCGTATGCTCTAGGTCGCTAGCGCCCACAGTGGTTTAGGGCATTGTTTAAGTTCTGAACCATGACCTAACCAATAACTTGAACAGAAATAACTTACTGAGCGCTTGCGATTATAAAACAGAATCCATTTTTCATCACAGGTAACAATGTGGTTCAAAATTTCTTCATTTGTGTCTGTTGAGCAGTGCAAGACATGTCTCGAAGCATACTTTGTGGGTTCGTGGGGCACCCACTTGTCAAGCTTTTCTACCTTGCCAATTTGACGCAAATGGACCAATATTGTTTTGACGCTAACGTCAAAAGCTGCTGCTAATTCAGCCGTAGATTGTGTATCAGCTTCCACAATCGCCATTAATTCGTCATTGTCGACCAGTCTTCGAACGACGTTAATAATTCAGGTCGATATTTCCAGAACGGAAGCAGGCAAACCGATATTCGTGCGTTGGTTTGTAGTGTCAGATTGTGTAGGTTTTAAAATAAAATGAATTTGTAATTAGAAATCTTAGGCAAACAAAAATTATTTCAGAACGACAATCGCATAGGTAAAAACCGGAATTTATATTAGTAACTTTTTTAAATTTGATGGGCCGTCGTTTGACCACTATCTCGCCGGGTGGTAAGCGATGATGTGGCCTATGATGGAGCACGTCGTCCCATAAGCAACCTATTTACTCGGGCCTTGAAAACACCCAGGTTATACCCTTCAGGAAACACAAGACTCTGGCAAAGAATTCCACTCCTTGCTAATGTACGCACAAGGAAGCTTGACTTATTTACTTAGTAAGATGAGACAGACTGTTGCCTCTCAATACATTTATGAAAATGTAGTATATGCTCATAAAAATAAAAGTTTATTTAAAAAGCATGGTGATATACATAATATAAACACGAGAAATAGAGACAAATATGTTGATCCCACTACTAGACTAAAGAAAATAACTGGTTCGTTTAGATGTCAGAGTATACGCTTTTACAATAAAATTTCCAGCCATATCCAAAATTTGAGTCTAAATAAATTTAAAAATGTCATTAAACTGTCAAACACCAAGCGGTCACCGGTGACCGCAACCTATTGTTCTATAATTGTGTCTACAAAACCGGTACTCGACGAGTTAAAGATAAATTTTATAGTAAAGCTTTTTATAAAATATAAGACTACCTAGATGATAGTCGGGCTTGGGAATAAGCTGCTGTAACGTCCACACAGGTCATGTTGACATGTTTGTAACATATGTTACATGTAATATATAGTTACATAAAATGTAACTATATAGTTACATTTCTTTTTTATATGCAATTTGACATTATTATTTTAATGTGACATTGTTTTTCATTAGAATTTTTTTATTTTTTGTTCAACCTTGACATTTACTTTTTATTTTTATAATTGTTAGTGCTAGGACCATGCGAGACTTTCTCGCCATTTCTTTTCTAATTAGGTACCCATATTCTGACAGTTTCAGTATTTGTGCGACCCACGCAAATGTTTTTTAGATTGGTAAAAAAATGTATTTATCCTAAATTATATTTACTCAAAAGAGTTTAACTAATAGAATGCTTCAATAATGTAGCAACAAAAATACGTAATGTTTGTTCCGAACACAGTGAAAAGTGAATCAAAACAGTGTGTACCTAACCTACTTAATTGTTTAAAGGAATGAATAAAAATACTGACACCATATTAATGGTTAGATAATAATAATGATAATCTTCTTAAATGTGTTGTGGTTGGGTGCCCGGCTGCTGTGCAACATGTCGCGCGCCGGCCAAAGAGTGATAATAGCATTTTCTGAGTAACATGACCATCATTAGCCCGGAGTCAGGAAGTTCGGCGGTGTTTCACCGCCATGCCTCGATAGGCACAGAAAGCCGTTGGTCCTGCGCCTCACCTCTCTCCACTCTCTAGTCGTGTCGGTCTGCCGTCGCATCGGGTTCAGAGATTGAGGGAACTGTTACATCGAAATTCCATATTAAGCATATAAAACAATAACGAAGACAACGCTATCCTTTCACGTGTGTTCACAACGTGTATCTGGTATTGGAGACTCGGTTGCCAAAGGAAGAAAAAAAGACGTATTTGAGTTGGCATTCTTACAATGTCGGGTTTTTTCTTATGAAATGCTTTGCAGTTAGTGTGGATTTGAACGTCATTGCGGATAGTTATCTATTCTGTATTTTGGATATTCTGTATTCTGAATTAGTCAGGAAAAATCTTTCTTCGTCACTGACCAGTTTTAAGGTGACGTGTTTGACTGATGCAGTGGAAGCGTGGAAAATGGCTTGCCCACTTACGGATTTACCTTGTAGCCGCACCGCACGACTACATACCTACCAGTTACCAGTACCACCGAATACCTTACCATATACCTTCCACAATACCTTTACCAAAAGTTTCAGACTTACTTCGTTTTAGAAACAAGAAACAAATTGTCTTGAAAAAGACAGTTTACGTTTTGACTCCGTTTTTAGAAACAAGAAACCAATTGTCTTGAAAAAGACAGTTTACGACTCTCTCGCATAGAAACGATAATAATCACTGCGGCAACAGCGTTATCACACCGTGCCGCGAGCGATCGCTTCGAAAGAAGCGGTTTGGTTAAGCAAGCAGCCAAGCAGCGCAAGCGGAGCCGGAGCCGGAGCACTTGCATTCGTCGTATCTTCATTGTTCATCTGTAGGTAGTCTTCAGTCTTCACTCGACGCCGGCGCTCGGAGAAATGCGCGCGCTCGCGCCGCGCGGTCATACTTATACGGAAGGAACCGATAGTGCCGTGTGCAAAGCGGCGCCCCTCACCCCGCGCGCCCCGCGCACGCCGGCGCGCCGCTATTGGTCGAAACTATCACCTAACTATATCTGATATTATCTAATTGTAAATATGTAAATAGAAATATAAGTAGCGTAATTTGGCGAATAAAATCATTCTGGTCCACACCTCTCATCGGAGTTTTACTAGTAATGGAAGAAAAGAAGAAACCTCCTCTAGGACACTAGGCTCTCCTACCTAGCTCCTAAAACCTGTTCACCCATCTTCTCAGAGACAGTGGGACGTGCCGCTCTGCAGTGTTATTCGTGAGTCTTTAATCAACTTGTCTTCCAATATTGCAGAGCTCGCATATTGGCTGTGGGAGAATGGGAATCATGATTGTGGCTTTAGGCACTCCCGTCACCCTTCATAGGTACTATGTTGGATGACATAACGTTCCGCCTTGCTGTATGCTTACGTTTAGGTGCTCCTTGTGTTTCTCCGCATTATTGTCACTGTGGAGAAAGAGTCGATGGCTTGGGACACCATGGTCTTTCTTGTTGCAGAAGTGCAGGCCGCATAGCTCGCCATGCCAGCATCAACGACATCATTCGTCGTGCTCTTGCCTCAGCCGGTGTACCAGCCGTATTAGAACCTAATGGTTTGGTACGTGATGACGGCAAAAGATCAGATGGTATGTCGTTGCTGCCTTGGAACATGGGTAGGCCCTTGGTGTGGGACGCTACGAGTGTAGACAACCTTGCGCCATCACATCTTCTAAGTACCACTGCATGCGTTGGTGCAGCTGCTTCCGCGGCAGAGGCCCTCAAACGGCATAAATATTTAAATCTAGTGGGTAACTACTATTTTGAGCCGTTTGGGGTCGAAACACTTGGGCCATGGGGTCCCAGTGCACACTCTGTTTTTAAAGATATCGCCCGTAGGCTAATCGACTCTACACATGACCAGAGGGCTGTACAGAAGATGCTTATTTTCTTCGGACAGAAAATAAGCATTGCCATTCAACGTGGCAATGCTGCCAGTCTCTTGGAAACGTTTCCCTGTGATGTGGACGAATACTTTGACGCCTAAATTAAGGGTATTTTTGTTGTTTTCTTTTTTTTAGTTTCTTTTGAGTGAATAAATCAAGTTTCTTTTAAATACTCTAAAACCACTTCGTAACAGAACAGAGAGTGTACCTGTGTTTGCGCTCACACTTGTGCACTATAATGTTTCTAGGGCGAGTCTAATTACACAGACTCGCCACCATGATCGAAATCGATCGGGAGATTTTATTTTATATGATATCCTGGTTCCTTGGAACACTTAATTGGTGGAACAAAGTATTGAAATTTTTTTTATAGTTCACTTGGAAATTAAAATACCTCAATATATAAAGACCCTAGATAGACATTTGCTGATTGAGAGTAGTGATCTACTAATATTTTATGAGTTTAATAAGTTGGTTATACGTAAAAAGGCGTAATGTTTATTTGTGTTATCACAATAATATTCCAAATGTGAAAGATTCTTTATTTGAATGTTTGTCCGTCAATCACGCTGAAACTGTTGAACGGACTTTGATGAAATTTAGGATAGGTAGATACAGGCAGGGTATAGGTATGGTACTTAGGTGATAGGATATTTTTTATCCCGATTAAATGCTCCTTTGAGATAAAACAAGAATCATATTCTACGCGAATGAAGTCGCGGGCAACGGCTAGTGATAAATAAAACAACCACAAACTAACAACAATACCATTTATTTGGTTATACAGATCTTTACATATAGCAACAATAATAGGATAGTTTTACTAATCTTGTCTCACATTATAAGTGATCAAAAAGTGAACAGTATATTGCCTCTAAATGCTAAACTTTTCGAAACACTAATTTTATAATATCTAATACAATACATACGTCTATATATTCATATTATATTTCAAATTAAATCAACAAAAACTCAGTAAATGGAAGACATTTTGGAAGACTTTGAAAGTATAACCAATACTTAGTATTTTGACATTGAAAATATATTTCCCTTATTTTATAATTACTTATAAACTACGCAAAATGGAAGCACTTAGATTTTTTTATTATAGTGACATCTATGGGACGAGAAAGTAAACTACAACGCTAGCGCACTGCCATTTGTTATCGGAAAGAAGAAAGAGCAAGATTGTCACTTGACGGAATTTTTAAAAACTAAGCGTATAGCTCATCTAATTAGCAATAACCGCACTACATATTTACACGTATTAATTTATTAATTTGACTGATAGTGCCGTTTCAATTTAGAACTAAATACATATATTTTTCTCACAATCTGCTATTGATCGCTAGAATGCTACGACGAAACAAATGCCAGAATACTATCCTCTATCTTATATTAAGACATCACTCACTCATCCGCACACTCATACAAACGGAGATTATTGCTCTCCCTCACAAAATTATTCTACTTTTTCTATTGTCATCGTCACATCGTATTTTTTCGTATATGTACATTCTTATCTTATAATTATACAACTTAACAATAACACTGAAGAAACAAGTAGTAATAAAATAAGTGAAAATCAATAAGCATCACAGAAAACCGAGTTTAATAATATTTATTTTGTTTCTGAAAAGCTATTTGTGGTAATCAGATAAGTATCAGTTTTTGTCTACCAGTGTCAACGACGCAGGTATTTTTTTTTCAGAAACGAAAAAAAATGTTGCACATTAGAAAGCAAAGGTGCCTTAATAGACTTACTCAAGAGTAAAGTAAGAAGAACGTTTAAAAAAACATAATATTAATCTAAACTTACGACTAAACATCGAGACACTCTACAACACTGATGAAAAGAAAATTTATAATTTATTGCGTTGTTACACATGAAATAATCCATCTTAACATTATTTAAAGTAGCGCCATCTCTTGGTAGAAACATAAACTATTGATTTAGCTATTCAGCATTAGATGGCGCTACCAATATTTTTAGTAAATATTTTTTATTTTAATTTAAATGTCTCCGAGACGTGCCTTTGGCTGTAAAGAAAAATATTTTATTATTTTCAACAAGCACCGAAAAGCTGTAGACTACAATGCGCTTTACAACATATAAAATTTAACAATACTCTTTTAATTGGCAAAACGGGAGATATGTCTTGTATATAACGTGATTTTGACATCAATAAATATATATTTATACTTAACATACATGTTATACAGAGTGAATGATATAAAATAACAATTTTTGATATTTTATCCTAAACAAACGTATCATTCACTTCGTACGCTACGCGTTTTAAATTATCTAAATAGATAAATAGTTTGCAAAATATAATTTCTTAGCTCTCGACATAAAACATTTTCATTCTTCAATGTATAGCTATCGATCTTTGATTGCTGTCTTTTTGGACGATCTAACATTAAAATGACGGGCTTTATACCGACACACGAAGCAGATGTTTTATAAATACTTTCAAGTCAATGATCGATGTCTATTTATTTACATTAAGTTTCTTAAAGTACATAAATAGAGATTATTCGTTTCAAACTATAATAACTAGAGATCGTTCATTCACCACGCTTCATGTATTCCTCATACACACTCACTGACATAAACATAGTCTACTATATAATAATAATTATATTATTTTTAACAACAATACCAATAAACAGTCAACTGAAGTAACTACACATACATTTGGCCAACACGACATATTGAGCTTAACACCACTTTAATTTTAATTTATATCTCCTATAAGTACTTTATAATCTAACAATATATTAATCGAAAATTTATTTTCATTGTCAACATATTAACTTCAAAATATTATATATTACATAGATATTGTATATGGGAAGAGAACCAACAATATTCGATAAATATATTTTTAATAATTTATAACGCAGAGACGGTTTGAGACTCTCTTAAATAACATTCTAATTTAGAGTTAAGATTTGGAAACAGTGGACCGCTAGAAAGGAGGAGGTGAAGAGATTTCATGTGAACTCTTAATTACATCGATATAATGTTAAAAACATTAAGGTAATGTTGCTATTTGTTCTCAATTATTCTAATTATTAAGTCGAACAATGTTAATACACATCAATTTGAGGACTGGTCAGAGAAAAAGCAGGTTATAGCTATTTTACATTAAAATTAAATAAATGTCGTTGTTGATTTTACTAAATATATTCTACAACGACATACGAAAACATGTCGAGTTACTAAACAAATAATAATTCCGAATAAAATCCTAAACGTTTCTAAAATTATCTAAGAATTTAAAATTTACTTATTCGAATGAACAAGACACACTCGGCTAATATAAAAATTCATTCAAAAACCAATCAATTCCGTTGTCTAGTAAAACGCTCAAGTCGACAGTAAAATATTCAATTTTAGTAAAATTACATGAAACTTAGTTTGAGCTATTCCTCAATAGATGGCGATAGTGAAGCGTTTCGAGTTATGAGTGAAATATCTGTCCAGTCTCCATTGCACATCTAATACAGCTATGCGTTTTTACAGCAGATAACATCTAGATAAATAAATTACTATATCGTTCGATACATGTACGTAACATATAATTATTTATTCATAGTTATATTCGGAATCGGCGGGGAGACATTTTCTCAAACAAATCACACTACTATGTGATATATGGGATTAATTTCTAGACACAGAGAATAATAGACAAGTCACATGTATACTCCAACAACCGCGGTTGACCACTTTCCACTTTAAACCTTTGTTTATAAGACTCAAACCGGTTAACCATTAGCTAACAATATTTTCATTCAGTTTCGAATATATCTCTTTGAAAAACAACATTCAGAATACTAACATGCGACACAAAAATGTAAGTCTCCGCCGTAAGACCAAAATATGTTTAGATTTAAAGCTTTTAGTCGACAATGATATCTTGTCCGAGGCGATCCATTTCTGAAAGCATAAAATCGACGTCCTTCTCAGTGACAGCTGCTGAGGAGATGATGCTGCGGAAGAAGTTGGGACGGCGGTCGTCAGGCTGGTAGCCAACCATCAATGTACCGGATTGCATCATTTTGCCCTTGAGCTTGGCGCACACCTAGAAACAGTTGACGGTGTCAGATACTAGATGGCGTTATGTGTTTAAATGCTGTTGAACGTTACGTTTGATTAAATGTTATGTAAATATATTTTTACTACCGATTTTGAAACAAAATTGTAATAAAAACCTAAGCATCACGTTTTATTCCCTGAAACGTAAGGTTCAGTAAAAATGAATGAAATCGTCTCTAAAAACAATTGTAAAATAAATTGTTATCTCCTTTACTTTGCCAGGTTTGGGAATTAAATCCGACATTCTTTGCTCAGCAATCACACTTGCGGTTACTGGCTTCCTTAATGCCGTAACCGTTGAATGTACTACTCTTTCTGTACTGAACTTTCGACAATAATGCCAAAGAAGTCTTTACTACAGTCATAAAAATTTACACTAAGATCATACCTTGCCCAGCTTAATCTCCTTGTGAGCATCATGCGGCAGGCCACGCAGTTGTTTGGGCAGGTACCAGAAGGACACGTTCACCATCTCCGGCTCCAGGATGAGGTGGAACTTGTCAGGCTGCTCCTTGATGCGGCGCACCTGGTACTCCGCAAGCTCCATCAGACGGTCCATGTGGCGCTCGAAGCCTGATGTACCCTGGGGGGGTTGATGGTTTTTGTGGAGGTTAGGTGGAATAATAAAGATACTTAAGTCTATCTAAGTACAGGACATTTTAATGGAACTATAGGTAATACCCATAATTAAGTAAGAATGAATAGTTCGTGTACGTACATTAAAAAATCAAGCACGCCTCTAAGGACGACGATAACTTGATTTTTTGGCCACAAAACTCCATAGATGCAATAAATTAGTTACAATTTTTTTATACTTTCCTCTTTATTACGATATAACAATGAAAACGTGATTATTATACTCCAAAAAGGCACAATCCCATGTTAGAAAGGAATAGTTAATGCTTTTAAGTTAATCATAATTTCCAACTGTACTAGGGACATGACCAAACGGAACCACTAATGTTTGTTCTTTTTCATTTCTTCATTAATATTTTATTAATTGGTAACGTATAAAAGGCAATAGGGTATTTTCCTGAATTTTATTTAAATGTCCGTCTGGTAGATTAATTTAAAACATTAGATACGTATTTTTTCTTTCCTCACAAAATTAAATTCTTTCGACGATATATTAATCTGAAATATCGTGTGACGTCACAGCGTGCTACATTTTGTAGCACTTAGTGATGTAACGACCGGACTCCTAAACTTAACTCCATTGTATCTAAGTATTGTAACTCTATACGGGAAAATAAAAAAATACGTGTCTAATATTTTTTCATTATCTAACTGACGGACTAATTAGAATTTTTAATTTTCATTCCCTGGCAACTACCCTATTGAGTTACCTTTAAAATAAGAGCATTTTGTTGTAAAAGGATTTTCTTAAGTTATAGTGGGTTCAAAAAAAACATACGATTCTATGCTCCCAAGATTAGATTAACTGTGGCTTCTAACAAACCTATTAACTAATTGGCATAACCAATGAAGATTAAGTATGATAAGATTCTCAGCTTACCTTTCCACGCCATTGCAGCCACAGCTTGAAGATATCATTGTGTCGTCCACACTGGATGACCTTGTCGCCCGTGTCGTACTTGGGGTCGTAGATCTTGTCCGTCATGAACAGGTACTCGGCTGACATCGCGTTGCAGTTCAGCAGGATGCCCTGGAAGAGATGGATCATTTATTAGAAGCGATAAAGATACACTGGATACTTGCAACACTACATAAACTTATAAGTGCGTTGCCTGCCTTTGGGAGAGAATTGGGTCTCTAGTAACGTCACTCATGTAACGAAACACAAGTGTTGTTTTACTGAAAATTGCTGTCAATTATTACATAACAGAAGTTTCCAACTTTTAAAGAGATAGATAAAAATGAAGACGTGTTCGAATTACCACAAACCAGAATGAACAATCCAAGATCATCCAATCATCCTTTTGACTCAAATGGATGACGGGCAAACATGTTTGGCAAATCTACCTACCGACCAATAACGGCCAGACGTATATCGTTAGAAAGCTCTTTTCATGACTATCATTTGTTATTATGGGGCTAGTCTCAATAAATTGCTCAATGCGGGTTGGCGATTACAAATTTATAATTAGAAATTATGAGCCCAGGTTTCCTCACGATGTTTTCCTTCACCGTTTGTCAGTGGTGTCTAAATAATCTTAGAAAGTGCATATAACTCGGAAAAAGTCACATTGGTGCTTGATTGGTAGGTTTCGAACCCGAAATGAAGCATGAGAAGCAGGCGTCTTAAACCTCCGGGCCACCACGTCACTATAGTTACTTATTACTTATTATTATTATAGTTACCTATTGATCTATTAAACAAAGGATTATACGAATCAAATGTATGGAGTCTAGAATCTGGATGGAATCCACCCCTCAATAGAGGTAATACAACATTGGATAGGACTTCTTGAACGGATTGATAATGACAAATTAGACGTTCAGTCCATACAATACATAGATACTAACAAAGCTGAAGAGTTTATTTGTTTGGTTCGAATGGAATAATTTTACTGTGATATCGGATAATTAATCCAGTGATCGAGGAAGGCTATAAAAGGAAACGTTACGATCAATAATAGCCGAGCAGCGGGCGGAACCGCGGGGGAGTAGCAAGTTACTAATAAAGCATAATCTGAATTCTGCTAATAACCACAACTATAGTAGTATTCATAACTCAAAACACAAACAAACAGATTAAAACTCCAAAATCAGTGTTTGTACAGCCACGTAGAGCACACAGACTACACAATATTATGTAGATCCAGTATCTGTCGCGCCCAGCTGTTTGTCGACTATTTATATGCTAAACATGACACACCCCTGCCCATCCCCTACTCGAGTGAGTGCAAGATAGATAGGTGCAAGTTAAAGTAGGTGGTGCGGGTGATAGACACGTAATTACGTCAGTTAAGAATCCAATTAAAAAATGTTAAGAAGTACTTATATTACTTTTTTATTTATCTATAATTGATGTTTTACAGTAGAAATCTCAAACTGAAGATATTATTGTTGCTTTGGTTGATTTATAATTAATTAATTCGACTAAATTGTACTCATTGATTCATTAAACACGCATTAATATTGACTTCCGCCTTGTTTGACATTTAATTAATGAAATAATGATCTAAGCAGACCGTTCTTATTACCTCCAGTGTTAAACAATAAGTTTGCAACTAAATGTATTGCGTTTTAACAGAAATGGCAAACAGTGGCCGCAGATACCATGACCAGAAGCACTACTTATAATAAAATTGTTTTTTTATGGCATAAGCCGGTAAACGAGCAAACAGATCACCTGACGGTTAGCAATCGGCGTCGCTCATGGACACACATGGAATACCAGAGGCGTTCCAAGTGCGTTACCGGTCATTTGGGGATTAGGAATTTAGGAGTTTGAGGATTGTTGGGGATTTAGAGATAATTGGGTAAGGGGAGGGGCGTGATTGGACGTCCGCTAACCTCACTCATACGAAACGAAACACAACGTTGTTTCGCTATGGTTTTCTGTTCGTTGGTGGTATCACTCCGGTCGAGCCGGCCCATGCGTGCCGAAGTATGGCTCTCCTACACTTACCTAAATGTATTTTCGCTGCACCATTTTACTAAGAATTTTTTTGGGGGGAAAATCGTCGAATGACTGCTCCCGCCTGGGTGAGGCGGGAGGGAGTGTCAGACGCTTACTGACTAAAAACCACCCCGTTCCTTCTCCTGAACATTTTACTGAGGATTGGTATCCAAATATTTATACGGAGCTGCGGAAGGCCTAACGGGTCACCGGGGCTCCGGCTCGAAGTGCAGGCGTAGGAACGGGGTGGTTTTTAGTCAGTAAGAGTCTGACACTCCCTCCCGCCTCACCCAGGCGGGAGCAGTCATTCGATGATTTTCCCCCTCAAAAAAAAAGATATCTGAATATTTATACAAAAAGCAGTGAACACGCCAACAATCCGAGGGTAACATCTCTTCAAACGCTGTCTTTTCAATAAACAAAAATAAACAATAAATTGCAGAAAAGCCCAATAACTGACTGCTCAGTGACGTGGCAAGCGATTATGGGCCTTATTGTTTAGTGAATTGTGGCTATTTAGCTTGTAAGTTATGGAGCATGTCAGCACAATATGCTTCATGATAAATTCCTGTGGACCCCGCCCACACTCCGTGTCGTGAGTTTAGGGAAGTGGTGGTGTCGATGTCGATAAACTGTTTAACAAGCTGTTTTATATTGAAAACAGCTTTTTCATGCCTTAAGCTTTGCACGTCGTTAAATTCGGGAAAAAAACTTTACAAATTCCATTTCACTTACTTTATCTATTAAAAATCGCATCAAAATAGTTTCCCTTTTTGAAAGATCTAAGTATGCAGTCAGTCTATACAGTGTAGTGATAGCTACAAGAAAATTTGGGTCTAAATAACATATCATGGTATTGTTAACTCGTCGAGTACCGGTTTTGCAGACACAATTATAGAACAATAGGTTGCGGTCACCGGTGACCGCTTGGTATTTGCCAGTTTAAAGGATAAGTTCACCTAATTAGTGCATTAAACGTCTTCTCTAAATAGACAGACTGATACACTGTTTTATTGGGTATTCCAATAAGATTGAGTCATTTTTGAAAACCCATTATTTAATTTTAGTAACGTCTTATTCTTAAGAGTACAGATTACGCTTCGGAACAGTATTCAGTGTATCTAGTTCATTATTGAATATATTGTACACTTATTTTTAAACTTTCAAGCAATGCCTTCTTAACGTCAAAGTAAAACTCATTTATATCGATAAAAAATAAAAGAATACTATCGATATAACTACCCCTGCCACATCCCTTAGTCTGGCACGCGGTACATTTAATTAAATTCCTCTTTGCGACACTTGCAAACATGTGTTGCCAATTTGGCTACCCTTATAACAGCCACAGAGGAAAAACAACCCTCTTGCATATAAAATAAGGCAGGAAATTAAAAAAGTAACATTTATTTGTGAAGAGGATTATTCGTTTCTTGGATTATGTACTTTCTGCTTAAGGAAATAAAGTTGAAATTGTTAAAATGAGCATTCATAAAGGAATTCACTTATTTGTTCTCTTAACAATATTAATTTAGTATTATTTGTGAGGAATTTAAATCCGGAATCGGAATCTTAAACGGCTGAAGGGATCGGGATGAAATTTGAAACAGAGGTAGATTATGGTCTAAAATAACACTTTTTATGGAATAGGAGGCAAACGAGCAGACGGATCACCTGATGGTAAGCGATCAGCGCCGCCCATGGACACCCGCAACACTAGAGGAGGTCGGCTGGCCTTTTAAAAAGGAATACGCTCTTTTCTTGAAGGTTTGAGGGTCGTATCGGTTCGGAAATACCGCCGACGACAGCTTAGGCTACATTTTAACCCCCATGGGAACATGAGCGATGCCGCCAGCGTGTGTAAAATAACTCTCAAAAATGATTTATTTGGATAAAGAGCAAACGAACATAGAAACTGATGATAGGCGTTCGACGTCGTCCATGGTTACCCATGCCTAGAGAACCAGAAGGAAGTGATCCCTCTGGTTCTCTTCTAGGACCAAATTATTATACTACCGATGTAGCTGAGCCCGAGGCAGAGACTATTTGAGGTCCCCACCATTCGCACTAACATAGATCGATATGCTCCTGTGGCTAGAGCTATTAAAATAATTAACAGCGTTTGACAAAAGGTTGATATTTTCTGTTGCTCATTGGCGGAGTTCATAAAGGTAACGACTGATGTTGTTAGTTGTATATATGTAGTTGATGGATAAGTGCAATTAATATGTTTGGCTGTGTTATAACAATGTTAATTATAAGTTTTTATATTAAGTGACAACATTCTCGCATTGGGTATAATCGGTTAGGATGTGTTGATTTAAATAAATAAATGTATATACCAATTTACCATTGTTCCCTTACCTTTTTTTTTATTTTTTTTTTACGGGGAAAATCATCGAATGACTGCTCCCGCCTGGGTAAGGCAGGAGGGAGTGTCAGACTCTTACTGACTAAAAACCACTCCGTTCCTTCTCCTGCACGTCGAGTCGGAGCCCCGGTTACCCGTTAAGTTCTCCGCGACCCCTTACCTTAGGATAAAATACAGTCATGGTACTAACCTCGTACTTGAAGTGCACGGTGGAGCACTGCAGCAGCGTGCCCATCAACTTGTGCGGGTTCCAAGTCACGGAGTCCGCCCTGTAACAATTCACACACTTCAGACACAAGGACTAACTAACAAAACAGCTAAACTAGTAAAATATAGAGTAATCCATGAGAAATGTATAAAGTATTTTTTTAAAGCGATCTGCATACTACATCGGTGGAAGCTTGGTGCAGGAAGTCGATCAGATGAGAGATTTAGGAGTTGTGTTTGATGGTCAGTTAACGTTTGTTCCTCACATTGAAAATACAGTTAAAAAAGCATCTAGAATGCTGGGGTTTGTCATCAGAAATGTTACTTGCTTTCGCCAGAATCAGACTAAAATACTTCTCTATAATTGTCTGGTTCGTAGCTCTCTGGAGTATTGTAGCGTTGTATGGAGACCACACTATGCCACCCACTCATTGAGACTGGAGCGGGTTCAAAAAAGATTTTTGTGGCACTTAGCGTACTCTTCTGGTATAGCTAATAAGAAGCCGTCATATGATGAGAGGCTGAGTCACTTCAAAATGATATCCCTACAAAAACGAAGAGACTCACTGGATTTACTATTTTTGTATAAAACCTTGCGATATCATATTGACTGTCCCCAGCTTTTGAGCAAGCTCAGAATCCGTGTACGCTCAAAAAATCCACGAGCGCCTATAACTCCATTGTGTCCTCCACTACGCAGGACTGTACTTGGTGCTAATTCTCCCATTCCTCGTCTATGCAGGTTGCTGAATAGTTATAGTGACCTTGTTGATGTGCACTTGGACTCACTTGGCAAGTTTCGCCGAAAAGTTAGGTTGATTCTTTATGGTGATGTTGCCGAATGTAACTGTTTTTATTTGTTTTGCCCATTATTTATGTTCTGATTGTAAGTGTCAATTGTCTTTATTGCTCGTATCGTAAATTTTAAGTTTAATATTTCATTTGTCTCCGATACTAATTCTTCTTAGTTATTTTGAATGTTAAATCTATGTCAATGGTTGGATTTGCCTGTCTCTGATCATAGTGATTTGTAAACCATTTAGTATATAATGCATGTTGTGCTTACCTATAATAGATTGATGCACTAGGTTTTAAGTTTTCGTAAATGTAACCCTATATTGTATAAGTGTGTAATCAATTGTTGGTGAGCCAAATCAATAAAATAAAATAAAAATAAATAAAATAAAGTGTCATCATCATCGTAAACGGCCTATAAATGCCCACTGCTGAGCAAAGCCTCTTCTCACACTGAAGGTATGAACATTAATCACCACGCTTGCTCAATGCCAGTTGGCGATTACAAACTTATAATTAGAAATTGTAAGCCCAGGTTTCCTTACGATGTTTTCCTTCATCGTTTGTCAGTGGTGTCTAGATAATCTTAGAAAGTACATATAACTCGGAAAAAGTCACATTGGTACTGGCTGTTGGTAGGTTTCGAGCCAGCACCCTCATGCATGAGAAGCGGGCGTAAACCTCGGGGCCACCACATTCGAATGTTTAAAATGTAATCTAGATTTTTATATATATTACGGCAACAAACTATACCCGAATAGACCAGTACTGTTGTATGGGCCTCTACAATAGAGGAGACACAGTATTTGTCAATGTGTCGTCGAAAGTATTTAATTTTGTAAGAAAAGAAAAAATAAGTGTCTAATGTTTTGAAATAATCAACCAGACGAACATTACAAAAAATTTAGTTTACTACCCTATCGTCACAAAATATTGTCATGGCATCAACTAGATCAAAATCACAATGAAATTTTCAAACTATTAAACATCGGCGCCCACTAATCTACCCTCAGCCGCAATCCTACAATAAATATGTAAATAAATGTTAATTCAATGTAAAATTCAACTTGTTGTTGATTTTTGACAAACCCAAGGTCATTTGTCAACTCACCGGCTGGGGGTCGACCCTGGTAATTTGCATAATGCTATAATCAATTGTGAATCAACTTTACCCCTTCTATTTGCTTGTGGGGTAACACCGAATTAGTTTTAGAGTAAGTAAGGGTAATGTGTGATGGGCTAGAAAAATGTCGTAGATTGCAGATTTAGAGATTATTCTTTATGAGGGTTATTTTTTACTGAAGAGGTTATTTGGGGTTTTGTTGGGTATTATTTCAGCTTTTCTTAATAGTTAAGTAATATTGTCGATAGAAGTTATAATTAACCGAATATTTAGGTCCATATTGATATCGAAGTATTGAAAACTTATAATTCATTACAATCTTCAACCGATTCAAGCACATATCTTCAACAGATTGAGCTGAAATTTTGTGTTTATTTTGCAAGACCATAAAACATGTTTTTGAAAAGATTTATTATTCAAAAAATTAGTTTGGTAAGTATGAGTTACTCAAATTTAATCGACAATAATATTTTTAAAAGGCATTAACCGTTTACTACCAACTTAACATAATTTTTTAAGCCATTTTCCCTTAATTCATTCTACAAATCTTCCCCAGAAACTACTTTAAACAAAAAGTGCTCAGTAAATGCAAAATAGATCGCACTGACGCCGTAGTGAGCGAGCTAAGTACAAAGTTAAACAGTGAGTATATCGTGCGGGCACAGTGGCGCACTCTGCCGGCGCTTTAGATAATCCTCTGTTGTCACAGCTTTGAGGGTCGCACGGGATTGCTGTTACACCGCAGTGTATAGCCCAGTCATTTTAGGGGTCAACCTCGGAATGAAAGATAATAAGCTATAAATTGGTATAAACCTTTGTTTTGTCGTTCTAAATGTTGTCTCAAAAGTCACAAATGATACCGTGTCCGCGTCTTAAGATATTGAAGGTCAAAGGTCATAAAAACTGGTTTTTCGTGAATATCTCGCTTTTTATTGCTTAAACGATATTTTTACCTATAATAAAAGTTGTAGAGTATAAAATTCTCTACAATTTTTGTATTGTGTTTTTTTTAGTACGATCAACCGTTTTTGAGGTAGAGCGCGAAGAGTGCGCAGCGCACAGTCATATATGGTCCAATGCAAGGTAAAGCGTGAGTTACGGTTATCGTACTGATAACCGTAACGTATTCTTATAATATTTAAACTGACATTTCAACAAATGTATAATTTGGCATATTTAATGTTAAATAAAGATATGCATAAGATATATCCCCTTATTGTCTTTTTAACTGAAAATATATATTCCAGAATAAATATTATAGAGGTACTATAGTTGAATAGTTAAAAATAAATAATGAAGAACTTTACTGATTTTAATAAAATATCATCAATTAATAATTAGTACATAAATGATGGCCATTGTTTAATAATTATAATTATTTAATAAATAATAGACTTTATATAACGTACTGATAACCGTAACTCACGCTTTACCTTGCATTGGACCATATATGACTGTGCGCTGCGCACTCTTCGCGCTCTACCTCAAAAACGGTTGATCGTACTAAAAAAAACACAATACAAAAATTGTAGAGAATTTTATAGTCTACAACTTTTATTATAGGTAAAAATATCATTTAAGCAATAGAAAGCGAGATATTCACGAAAAACCAGTTTTTATGACCTTTGACCTTCAATATCTTAAGACGCGGACACGGTATCATTTGTGACTTTTGAGACAACATTTAGAACGACAAAACAAAGGTTTATACCAATTTATAGCTTATTATCTTTCATTCCGAGGTTGACCGCTTTTTTTACCTAATATGACTGGGCTATGTAACAATAAACACAATTTGTAGTTTTGTAGAAATAAAAAAAAAACGATTTGATATTTTGTTTGTTATCTTTTTAAATTAACCACAGAGCCGATGTTTTAAACAGTACACTACTGGCATATCGCCGATAATTGCCGATAGTTGATATATGCAGTATAGGACAATGGCAGGAAATCCATACAATGTTGTACAATGTAATATTATTTATTTCCATGCTTCCTCTATAAAAGATTGGTTTGCCATAATCTCCACAAGTCTTTTGGAGATTCAAGTTTATAATGATCAGGTTCACTAGAGAACGCCGCTGCCTTACCTTTTTCAAAAGTACGTAGAATCACAATCGCCTTTTACGAAACTCACCGTATTCGGTTTTGAGTATTTTAAACGACGCTTCGGTGTGATAGACAGTACATTTTAAACTCTCCGCCATGATAAACGAGCGCCCCACAAGTGCAGACGTATGTACGGACTACGGACCGACAGCTTTTTGTTTTTTATTAGTCACAGCTCCACTGCAGTGTAGGGGAGTTTTAATTAATCTCTAAAGAGGTCGCATCGCTCTGTAAGAGGGTAAGCACGGAGGGTAAGATGGGAACGTAAAGTTGAAATTTTTTGTTATTTTTTTGGTGAAGTTTTGCAACTAATTGGTTTTTTAGGTGATTTGCGTTGATTCAGATTCTTTTTCGCATTTTTTAACCTGACGTTACATATTTATTTACTGAATTTTACCTTTTAATGCTAGTAATATTAAATCCAGAATTATGTACTTTTTCCAACTCGGGAATCGAACCCAAGGCTACTTGCTCGATCGTCAACCATTCTCAAAAAGTCGCGCCCGTAAGTTATATTTTATCATTTATCATAATATCTCTAACATTTTAATAATAATTTTCTCTCTATAATAAAATCCAAAAACAGCACCTCTCACTCCACACCCGGGTACAGGATTAACGCGATCAGCTGTAACGATTTACCCGAGATCGGGAGTAACCCGCGAGATTGACATGTGAACCGGCGGCCTGCTACGAACGCTACGAGCGCTACGAGTGCTACGACCGTAGCCGCTACGAGCTATGCGTAATCCCTGACGGGTAATGTAGGGTTGGCAATCTTTGAGTAATTCTTTAAAGATGTTGTTTATTCATATCTACTACTAGCGACCCGCCCCGGCTTCGCACGGGTGCAATATGCATGTACTATACACATAAACCTTCCTTAAGAATCACTCTATCTATTAAAAAACCGGCATCAAAATCCGTTGCGTAGTTTTAAAGATCTAAGCATACATAGAGACAGACAGACGATGGATAACGACTTTGTTTTTTAAGTGTGGGAGAGCCATGCTTCGGCACGAATGGGCCAGCTCGACCGTAGTGATACCACGGCCTCACAGAAAACCGACGTGAAGCAACGCTTGCGTTGTGTTTCGTCGTGTGAGTGAGGTTACCCGAGGCCCAATTACCCTCCCCTTCCCCAATCTCCCCAATCCCTGAATCCCCAACGATCCTCAAACTCCTAAACCCCAAAAAGCCGGTGACGCACTTGTAACGCCTCTGGTATTCCAAGTGTCCATGGGCGACGCCGATTGCTTACCATCAGGTGATCCGTATGCTCGTTTACCGGCTTATGCCATAAAAAAATACTATGTAGTGATGATTATTATCTAGTTTTACTCCATATTCTAATTACCTTAATTGTCAGTGTTTACAAATGTATAAAGTCACAAAACATGCTTTCAAAAACATTTGGTTTTGGCTATAAGTTACGTTTCTATAAACTTGAATAAAATGCATTTTGGTTTAGTTACATTATTCAATACAGAAAGAACTTTGATTAAAAGAAACCTGGTTTCTATTCAACGTATTTTATTGTGTTTTATATGACTTAAGTTAAAATCAGTCATACATGGCATTCTCTCACTTCAATCTATATTTCCTTTGCAAAAAAAGCAGCCTACATCTTTCCTCCAATAATTACACAATCACAAAATAATGTAAACATTTTCTTGGTTTAATAAAATTTATTTAACTATTTATTATTTTAATTCCACTATACTTTTCCTCCACGCACCAACCCTACAACATCTGTCCCACGGTCCAACGCGCGCGTCTGCTGCATTTAGCTAGATTTCCCCCCTCACTCCCCCCCTCGCTACTCCCCGCCCGGCTTAGTACAAGTATACATCGGCATTTAGCGCGGGGCACTCATGATTGATAGACGTTAATGGCAGCTCGGATTAATAGAAGGATTATGAGCTAGTTTTGCCGATTGTACTTTGAGTTGTATTTTGTATCGAGTGGTGGGGTGCAATTAGATACAGTGCCTACAGGCTTTGAGAATAGAGTTGTAATTGGGTAGTTTTTAAAGATAATTTGTTATTTCCAGATAGATTGATGAGATTTTTTTTTGAAGATGTTTGGATGAAATACTTGTTAAATTTATTTTCGAAAGATTTTTAAAAGAAGTACAGTCATTGCAAAAAGTACCTCGTCAAACAGTTACGTGGGTAAGACGAAAACATAATAATTAATTATTTCTCACGAAAGTTGCGGTAACCTGGTACACTGCGACTCAATCGGTTTTGATATTCATTATTTTTATCGAGTTCAAAGAGGAGTTCGGAACTGTTCGGATGATTGTTAAGTCAAAGTTAAAGCATTTATTTTAATTAAAACTTAATTAAGCACTTTTGAAACGCCAAAATTGAATTGTCCGTCCGTCTGTCTGTCTGTCAGTGAAGATAGGCGTTCTTGCGCTCGTACTACTCATAGGATCTGCTCCGAAGTGGGTGATACAGTCTAAATCAATAATAGTTCCAGCTGTCACCGTGCCAAACTCTGTTTTGCCAAGCTGCAAGTAACTATATCATATAGCCTGTCTTACCTCTCGATGCCAGTGAGGCGGGGGTGGCGGTACTTCTTGGAGAACAGCAGGCCACCGCCCCACGCAGCCTGCGACAACATGCCATTATTGTAAACTTAATCCTCAAATTCCTAATCCCCAAAAGGTCGGGAAAGCACTTGTTACACCTCTGGTGTTTCGAGCGGCGCCGATTGCTTACCATCAGGTAATTGGTCAGCTAACCAGACAGCCGGTAAACGCGGCTTATTCCATCAAAAAATTACCAAAAAATGATATTTTTGGGAAAAGTAGTTCAGTTTTTTCAGGACAAGGCTTCCCGTCGCTGAGAGGCCGAAGGCTGGACCACACGCAGGCAACTATTTTTAACCACATGGTTGAAACCTCAGAGTGGAAAGCCAGCATGCGAACTAATATTATAGAATGCGAAAGTACAGACCTAACCGAAAAGTACTGAGGCTATCTTTTTACAGCGGATAAAGCTGTTGATGCAAAATCTATTGTATACTTACATCAACATGCATCCACATGTCATACTTCTGGCAGATGTCTGCGATATCCTCGAGTGGGTCGAAGGCACCCAGCACTGTGGTGCCTGACGTCGCGTTCACGAAGAATGGAACCTAATGCGCAAGAGAATAGAGACAATTTTTAGATGACAACATGGTATTAATATGTTTTGTCCGAAAGTATCGGTGCTATTATAGTAAGATTTTTAACAGTTTGTGATTCAGTAAAAAGTCCACAGTAATAAAATTGTTCCGATCTTAATAACAAGTTTGAAGATTCCAAAAATTTCGAGAATTCCGAAAATTCTTTATCCGAAATCTGCTAGATTATTCTGTACAATGTCAATTGGAACTCTCAAAGTGAGCTTGATCGCGGACCGCCATGTCATTGATTGTGAGAATAATCTCGACAAATCATGACGCGTCAGAATTAGATTCAGCTAATTAGACAAAAGCAAGACAAAGTTTTTTAAAACATTTGCCCTACCCTAATATTTTCGCCTGTGTCGTGGGTGCGTTTACAAACATACAAGTTCACATACACATGACACCCAGACCCGAAACAACAATCTGTATATCACACAAAGAGTTGTTCCGTGCGAGAATTTAACTCGCGACACGTTGCGCAGCAGCCAGTTGTCCAGCCACTGCGCCAACCGTGCAGTCAATCAGACATGGAATATAACTAAGGTACAGTAATTCGTGTTTCGCTATCGAACAAGTATTCAATAACTACGTACTAAATTATATTTTGTCCAGTCTAGGAATCGAATCTAAGATCTTTTGAATATTATTTTGAAAACGATTATATTTATTTGTGTTCCTTTTACAATAAAATGTTAGAAATATTTAATGTTCATGATACTCACATTGCCTCTATCCTTGTGGTACTTGACCAGTCTCTCCAGTTCGGTGGGTATCATGCGGCCGCGCTCGTCGGACGGCACACAGATGCAGTAGTCCGTGCCCAGACCGCACACTGACGCACACGACTTCACTGAGTAGTGGCACTAATAAAAAAAAAACAATTTTATATCATGAAACATGGTACTGTGGCGACACATGGTACATGTCAACAGATGACGTCACACACATCCTACATCGCACATGCAAAGTTTACATGCAAATTAACACTTATAGAAAATCCCAACGACCAACTGTTGGGCAGAAAACCCGCCAGACACGATCACCTCGCCTGGTCGGAGGATCCTCCTTTTCCGATCTTAGGGAACTATACTCACTTTTCCTTAAAGTGCTTTTACATGTCACTTCGAATCACATCAAGTTAGTTTGAGTTTTCGACTTTATTGCTACACGTTACGGTTGAAAATCTCTTTGATCATGGGGTGGACAGCCGTCAGAATAGATAGACTCGACTTACGTAACTTTCTTTTTAAAATACCTCTCATTATGAACTTTAGTTCTCTCAGTTTATTTAACTTACACCAGAATACTGAAAGGCAATTTGAATTTGTACTTAAATATCGTGCCGTCTCTGTCTTTCTACAAAGAATTTGTAGAGACAGAACTATACTTAAGCGCGACTTAATATGAGCGTTTAAGTATTTGGATTTATCGTCCTCAAGGTTATTTCCTTTTTCAGTCTCTTTGACTGGATTTAGGTATTGCATTGTTCTCACACAATCGAACCAACTATGTAACTAAAGAATTGTATTATAAACCCGATTGAAAAAGAGTAACCTATGGAGTTTCTTGCTCGTTCTTCTCCATAGGAATCTACACCTTGGAATGAGCAACTAGCTTCACTTCTAAATTTTTGTTGTTGACGTTCAAAAGTGCCTTCCTGGTCTAATTGAAATAAATGATTTAGACTTTGACTTTGACTTTGGACATTAGGTGTATAATTCTGTATGGACTTCAAAACAGATTGTGACCTCTGAGTTTGTTTCAGTGTGGCTTCTCAGAAAAAATAACAACCGAGCCTCTAAGGCCTTAATTAAACATTGACATGTAAAAGTCCTTCTTTGTCGTCTATTTACAGAAATAAATATATTTTAATTTCAAGTGCAAAATATAAGATACGTGTAACTCAAGGTCTGACTGATTCTATCTCTGGTGGACTAACCTGGTCAGAGGTGAACATGACGAGGTGTCCGGGGATGCTGGAGAGTCCCTTCTCCTTGTACTGAGGGAACTTGTGATGCCGCGCCGCCAGGAACGCGTACAGATTGGAGATGGAACCACCTGGAGGACGGTACACAGTGTTGTTGGAAGGTATATGCATAATGTAGACGAGAGTATGGTACTTCTCATTGGCCGAGCGGTCGCAAGTGCGACTGCAGGGCGAGTGGTCAAACGGGCCTGGAATTAAGCCCGGTATATGGTAACAGGCTCACCCCCTATTACATGGGACTTATAACATAAATAGTGAAAAGTGGGTGTTACATACAGTAGTATAATGTGCACCTCTGCCTACACCTTCGGAGATAAAAGGCGTGATGTTGTGATGGTGATTTTGATGATGATAATGGTAGTTTAATTCATCAAAAATGTAGAAAGTAGATATTGAATAAATGTACGCTTATTGAGTAACGTATATATACTGCACTTTTGTCCAGTTATATTATCGGACCCAAGTCTAACAAACTGTGAACTTGTTTTTATAATAACGATCGTGAGACACAATACGAAATTAACTAAAAATCGCGGGTTACTCACGTGAAAATCGGTCGTGGCGATGTCGTGCAGCCTATGCCTACAGTAGGCTGCGCGACAACGCTGCGACCGCGCACGCTGTTCACGAGGAAGAGTCCCTCTGTGACTCGTAACTAGTAGAGCTTTTCTCAGTGTATTCACGTGAGTAAATCGTAATTTTTACTTAATTTAGCATTTTTTTTTAAAGGGAGTTTAACCTCCCAAAACCGCTACAACTCCTGTGCACCAGGATCTACAGTAGATACAACCATAAAAACACCGGAACACTGAAGTCCGGCGTCCCAGGGATATGAGTAACTGTCTTGGTTCCCGCAACGAAGTGAATCAGAAGATATTATAAGAGGAGAAGAAGAAAAAAACTATATTTTCCACTTCCCTCGGTGAATTACTGTTTTAAATAATTTAGCATGTCTCACGATAGTTATTATAAAAACAATCAATTTAAATATTCATTTCACTACTTACCGGGAGCTAGAATAGAGTCCCCAGTCCTCCAGCCGATCATATTCCTCATCTTCTCCAGCACCACATTCTCCATCAGAATGAAGACGGGCGCGATCTCGTACGTGAACATGTTGGTGTTGGCGGCCGCCGTCAGCCACTCGCCTGCCAGGGAGATGATGTCCAGACCGCAGGACAGCTGGTTGAAGAAGTGGGGGTGACCTGCAAGAAGGTGGTGGGTTAGAGCTTGGGAGGTAGGCTAATTGCGTGAGTAGAGTCAATGAGTAAACTACGTGCAATTAAATACGTTAATTGTTTGCCCTCCTACTTAAAGCAGGGTCCACAGTTTAAAAAACCGACTTTAAAAAACCAAAAACTAATAACAAACAAAAAGTCAAAACTAAAAAGCAAAAAATAACTATTACTAGTTAGGAAGAGCCCCGCTGTGGTTCGAAACTAGTAGAACTTTTCTCAATGAATTTCCGTGAGTAACCCGCGATTTTAGTTAATTTAGTGTGTTTCACGATAGGTAGATTATAAAAACTTTAGAAATAATTTTGGAAATCGCTTCACAAATGGCGGAGTAATCGGCGAACAAAAAAAAATAAGCCGAACATAGTAGCTCTTCCTTTTTTGAAGTCGGTAAAAATCTAATCCAATGTCTAATTATCATTTTTTTCTAACTTTATCCCACATTTTGATGTTCTCCAGTAAAGTCCTGTGTCTTGGGTACGTTTACAAACACAGTCTCATATCACACCCAGACTAGAACAAATAATTTATATGATCACATAAATTGTTCTGTGTGGAAATAGAACCGGTAAACGTTCTGCAGCAGCCGATATCTGAGTCACTATTCCGTCCTGGCTTCGCACTGGTGAAATTTATATGTATTATACATATAAACCTTCCTTAAGAATCATTCTATCTATTAAAAAAAAACACATAAAAATCCGTTGCGTAGTTTTAAAGATCTAAGCATACATAGGGACAGTCAGACAGCGGATACCGACTTTGTTTTATACTATGTAGTGATTTGTTAAACGTTAAAAATGAAAAAGTATGCCATGAACTACATATTTAATAAGGTACAAAATAAACAATATTACGGTTAAACTGTCAAATACCAAGCGGTCACCGGTGACCGCAACCTATTGTTCTATAATTGTGTCTATAAAACCGGTACTCGACGAGTTAAAACAGACATTTTCGTCAAAAAGTGTCAATAACAAAGCGACTCGATTATCCCGGTCGAATGGCGATGTCATTCGGACCCGGATGTAATCCCACACGCCAATGGGCCGGGCGATAGCTTCCGGTACAACGCCGGCCATTTTTGTATTTGCGGTCAGTCCGTTTAAGTACTGGTGAAATTGTTATTATGATCTCGAGTTTGTGTTTTTACGTGTCGTGTTTTAAATCTTATTTGTCGTTGTGATGTTGAGAAAACTAAACTGTTTCCATTGATCTTTTATTTAATAGAAAAGTTTTGCACGTTTATTAATATAACTAGGGTAGGTACCCAATAGGGTAGATGACATATATTTCATTTTAACGTCCCTCTGTTTATTTTAGAACTGGTTATTTTTAGATTATTTTAAAACATTAGACAGATATTTTTATTTTATAACGGAAACAGACACTTTCGATGATATATTGATTTGAAATATCACGTGATGTCACTTCCATATACATTTATACGTAGAAATGATGTAGTTGGCTCCCACTCCTAAACTTTGATTCGTTTTATCTAAGTATTGTTACTTATACGACAAAATATAAGTGTCTAATAGTTTTTCATTACCTAACTGACGGACTAAATTGATTTTTAATTTTCATACCCTGTCATCATCCCTATTTTCACCAGTTATGTGATAAGGGATGAGTCTATTGACACCATTGGGATGAGATGAGCATATACCAGACAATATTCTACGATCACTGCGTGCTAGTATGTATTACTGACGCTCTGACTGACACGAGAATCGAAACCAAAACTCTCGGTATTTGTGTTTGCGGGCTCTCGACTAACAAGACTCGCATGTCGCGCTTAAATATCGTTCTGTCTCTACAAATTCTTTGTAAAATGACAGAGATGACACGATATACAGTATTTGGTCGTCAGTTATACTCATTTACAATGTCTATAAAATATACCCTACAATGGTAATTCAATACGTCCCCATAAAGAAACAAGATAGAATGTCTATGACAGCCGCCATACGCCACAAAATACAGAGATAAGACCTCTTTGGTCCCCCAACAAACTGTTTATCACAAACTCATTCTTTTTTGTGACGTCACAACCGGGTATACAGATAAAAAATATAAATGAGAGGGAATTGAGAACAGCGCCCTCTAGGGACAAGGGAGTTATGATAAACAGAGTATTTTTATCGCGTAATAGAAATGTTATGACAGGTCCTTGTAGAAAAAGAGGTGTTTAAATCATCAATACATAGTATAAAACAAAGTCGCTTTCGCTGTATGTCCGTATGTATGTTTAGATCTTTAAAACTACGCAACGGATTTTGATGCGGTTTTTTTTAATAGATAGAGTGATTCTTAAGGAAGGTTTGTATGTATAATACATGCATATTGCACCCGTGCGAAGCCGGGGCGGGTCGCTAGTAAGCTATAAGGAGAGTTTGTGATTTTGTAGGTTTTGAAATATGGCAAAACATATCATGTGGTCTCACAAGTTTTATTATGGAATATGAGGTTAACGAGACGATGGATCACCTGATGGTAAGCGATAAGCGTCGCCCATAGATACCTGCAACACCAGGGTCACAAGTGCGTTAACTTTAAAGAAGGAGTACATTCTGTTCTTGAAGGTTTGAAGTTCGTATCGTGGCAAGATCCAGACTGCGTCCAACATTCAGTCAACTAGTGACAACCGAGAGTTTAGGCATGAATGGAATGAAAAATATTGGATTGATAAGTGTCATTGTGTTGTATATCTGTGGTATTTTATTGATTTCGGGCGGGCAGATTAGATCTGTGACCTTATTTTTAAGTAAAACATTTGTTTTGGCAAAAGAATACTCTACGAATCTCAGTGAGTCTATCGCTATATATAATACTAGCAGCCCGTCCCGGGTTCGCACGGGGTAGAAAATTATTTATTTTTGGAAATTTGGATTGTTGTAGTGACATAACTACAATAGTTGGATATATGGTACCGCGGAGTTTTTTGTAGACATTATGATGTTCTTCAATATTGTTGTAGATTATTTTGTTCTATCGCTAATAGTTTCGGCAGCGCATTCGACGAAAGACATTTTAAGACTTATTTTTCTACACCTTCGGTTACATTGTTCAAATTTTACCAAGGATCCCTCATTTTTTTCAAAATGAAAAGTAGCCTATGTAAAATTGGAAGTATGTAGCATTATTGGTGAAAGAATTTTTTAAATCGGCCCAGTACTTTTTGAGCCTATTCATTACAAACATACAAACATAGTTACAAATCTTTCCTCTTTATAATATTAGTATAGATATACACACCATTCGGCGAAGCATCACCGACTCATGGTAGAGGTCCCACCCACACGCATGAAGCGTTTCGCTTCAAGCTTCCTTGTGCGTACTGCTAAGGAGTTCTTTGCTAGAGTCTATATTTCCTGAAGGGTATAACCTGGGTGTCTTTAAGGCTCGAGTGAATAGGTTGCTTACGGGACGACGTGCTCCATCGCAGGCTGTTAAGAAATCTAAACGTTTTTTTCCGACCCGAGAAAACTAAGTACCTAAGCTAATCAAACGTACTTGTCAACCAATGAACCAATCATAAACACTCTCAACGAAAATACTTATAAAATAATTTACCTAACAAAGAAATTGCACGAAGTATGAATAGATAGAGAGCGCCTCCCCTCAGGCCCCGAGGGACTGTTTATCACGCCGCCGCAGCTGGGGCCCCGGCAGCCGTCAGCGGGGCAAGCACACACTGCTGTCCACCGGGATTAGGAAGCTTCAATTGTTTTTACACTGATTTCGTGTTAACGCGTGTACTATAATATTAGTTAAGTAATTTAAGTTATTTCTTTGTTTTGTTATTTTAATAATAGTTTATTTTAGTAAGTATGTACGGAATAGGTGTTAAGTAAAATATCGTTTATGATTCATTGTGGGTATTTAATAAAAAATTAAATGTTACATGCGAATTTGGTTTTTATTATTCAGTTACTCGGAAGTTAGAAATTTTAAACAGTTAAATTTGTATGGGAAACTTTATTTATTAGTATATTTTTTTTTTCTAAGGGGCGGAAATCATCGAATGACTGCTCCCGCCTGGGTGAGGCGGGAGGGAGTGTCAGACTCTTACTGACTAAAACCTACCCGTTACCCGTTAGGTTCTCCGTGACTCCGAATCGGCATCGGCCCTATTGGGCCCCATCTGTGGTGGTCTGATGGCTCTTCGAGGCGCACGCGGAACGTAACGCGCCGTACGCTCGGGTATTGTATTAGTATATAGGTATGTGTAAGTGTTAAGTTTTGATTTAATTATAATTAGGTAAAAAGTCATTACTAAAAGATGTGGTAAGATGGCTAAACTATCGTATTGGAATGTATCTGTAGGTAATGGTAGTTGTTAGTGCATTAAATAAATAAAAAATAAATAAATGTTCAAAGTGTGTTTTATTGGGCTATTCATACTTTGAGTCGACTTCAAAATAAAAATAAAGGAGGTGCGACCTATATGTATGTTTGTATGTATGTGCGTGATTATCTCGCTATTGACTGAACTGATTTTGATGCGGTTTTCGCAAAAGTTTTGGTTACACTTAGAGAAAGGGTTTAGTATATTAATTAACTGACTTCTAAAAGAAGGGGGATTGAAGTCGGGGTTTTTAAATGTTGTTTAAAATTTCTTTGTTTGACGTATGACAGTTTAGGTACCTAGTAAAAGGAAAAGAAAGGTAGAAACTACCGAATGTCATCTTTATGGTCCTTGCAAAATAAAACAAGCAATGTGATGGTGACAATATAAAGTAGATTTATCACCACCGCTTCTCTTCCCGCGGGTATCGTATACCCGACTAAGGGACTACACAGACATTTGACAGAGACCAGGCAGCAGCTATCTCTGATAAACCTGAACCTTTTACACTGCGATCGAACTAATAAAACTATGTAACTGGGGAATTGTATTGTGAACCCGATTGGAAAAGAGTAACCTATAGAGTTTCTTGCTCGTTCTTCTACATAGGAATCAACAC